TTAGGTAATTACTTAACACATTATACACTACCCCACACTTGTCCTCATTCAATCCGGTACATGGTAGAAAGACACGAGCTTCGAATCAACTACTCCGTCTCCGTTATTTCCCAGGGCTAGCCACACTTAGGTAGTCTACCTAAGACATGTATCATAATACTACATACGCACGAAAAGACACGAAGGGAAGAGGAACCAAAAAGTGATGATCAATGCGGTTGGATAATATAACGACTCTATAAACTATATGTTACGGCGGTATCAATAGACTTGGCGAGATACCTATCAAGGAAAGAAGCTATCTAGACATGATACATCGAAAAGAACACAATTCTCGCTCGCGCTAAGCCATCGCGTCCCGTCGCTTCTCTTTCTACCAAAAGTTACTATAGCGATGTGATTACCAGCTCCTCGAGCGAATGAAATCGTGCGAGACATGACGGATATTTGCTCAAGTTTTGCTTCAGATCTTCCCGTTGGTGCCGTTAGTATACTCGTGACCATTGGTCTCGTGACCATTAGTCTGGTTCACTAGGCCTTCCGCAGCGAGTTCTATCAGAGGTCCGTACAGAGAGCCGTCCTTGATAGCATCATGGACAATAGAGATCCATCCCCCAATGGTCTTTTTAGGCCGTCCGTCTAGCTCGTCGGCATGAATAGTGGGGTGTTCAACAAAGCCCTGGTGGAACGGCACGCCGAGCTTCTGACGGACGTATTGGTATAAAACCTTTGCACCCTTCCCGAGGACCTCAGGAGTGTGCGGTTCCGCGCGGAAGGCTTCAGAGGTCTTTTCCCATACGGCATAGATGGCCTTAGTAGCCTGCTCTTTCCATTGAGCTACGTCTGTAACGGACCCCTTAATGTGTTGGACAACGATGGGCACGGCTGTGCTCACAAGAGATTTGCAACGATCGGGGAGATCTTTTTTGCCCGAAGACGACCAGGAAGGGAATACATGAGCTGCCAGTGCTTTCTGGAGAACTTCCAGCTCATCGGCCGACAGGCTACCAGAAAAGGATTGAGTAGTGACGGACGCAAGTGTCTCGGTAGCCTTCTGCACAAAGAGGTTGTGTAGCGCTCTGAGGTCTACGGCCTGGCAGGTAGCATACAAATGAGCCGCGGACATCAATGTTAAGATTTCCGTCGCCTGTGCGCTCATGCGTGCCGACGCCAGCGCCATCGAGTTGACAGACTGATTATGCATCTCGGCCGCCTGGACGAAAGGGCTCATTGGGCTAGCGAAGTAAGACAGCTCAGCCATGTAGGACGCCATATTAATCTCAACCCCCTTCATAGTAAATGACAAGCTAGGGTCATCCGAGGCGAGGTTAGCTGGGAGACCTCCACTAAGCGCCGGATCTACCAGCTCGGTCAATTGCGAGAAGAGCATCCTGCCAAACATTTGCAGTGATAGCCGCACTTTCTCCATAGCCGACGTCACGGACGCCGCCTGGAAGTTGGCGCCATAATGGACATCGCCATTCGGCACGTCAACCAGTGGGTTGTCACAAGTAGAGTTGAGCTCAATGCTGATCTGCCGATCCGCAAGAAGCAAGTCTTCTACCTGTGGACCGATCCATTGCGGGGCACTTCGTACGGAATAACGATCCTGTGCCATGTCCTCGGAACCCCGGTTCTTCTGTTGAAGAACATCTCGCGCAAGGGCCGAACCGCTCATGAAGTAGTAAATGTTGCGCGCAACCTCGATTTGGCCCGGATGCGGTCGCGTCTGAGCAATAAATGGGTTGAAGCTCTCTCTGTGACCATTCAGTGCCTATATTTTCTACTGATTAGCTACCGGTGTCATCGCAATATGCTTACGAATCCAACTTACCTCTACCGCCATGCCGGTAAGCGCCTGTGTAAGCAATGCCAGACGATGGGCGTCTGTAATAACCATAGCGGCAAGCGCTGCTGATGACGATGTTCCGTTGACCAAACCAAGACCCTCTTTCGGGCCAAGCTTTATTGGCTGCAATCCAGCCTCCTTCAATGCTTGCGGTGCGGGAATAACTTTGCCGTTCTTCTCAATAAGGATGTCTGGGTTCCCCTCTATAGTGCCGGCGATATAGGATAGGGGCATTAGGTCTCCAGAGCTTGAAACAGAACCGCGTAACGGTATCATAGGGTTCAAATTGTGCTTGACCAAGGCTACTATGGACTTGAGGACTGGGAGCGTGACCGCAGAGTGACCCCTGAGGTTACTGTTGCATCTGACAGCGATGGCACCGCGGACCCATGACGAGGGCATGGAGTGGCCTGGGACAGAGCCATCTGTAGATCTTGACATAATACCAGACTGGGTAAGCTGCATCAGAGATGATTGCAATGCTACGACTTTGTCAGTACGGCTATCCGCGCTACCTCCGAATCCCGTATTGACGCCTATTATCTAGTTAGTGGTTGATATCAACAAAATAACCCGGATTTACATACCGTAAACATGCCACCCTTTTGAAAGGTAGTGGTATAAGACATCCACACTTTCTTGGATGCTCTTGATGACATCCGGGTCTTCAGTGATCTCGGGTATACACCCGTGTCTAACATCTCGTTAGTAAAATGATACATTATACCATAGTCCTAAAACATACAGGGCCGTAGCGACAACATCCGAGATGTGGAGGTTTTGGCCATCTAGGACATAACTGCCGGCTTCGATGCGCTTTTGGAGGTGGTCCCATGCCTCGCAGACCTTGGCGAGATGAATACTTTGGTTCCCCATTGCGAATATGACGAGCGGTGCTGAAGAGATGTCTAGGTTGTCAACTTGGAGATGTCTGGGCTGTCAACTTGGAGATGTCTGGGCTGTCAACTTGAAGATGTCTGGCTAGAGAGCAGAACTTAGAGGAATCCAGGAGAAGTATATATAGATAGATATTCACAAAGGTAGGAGCAAGTTAATATCTGTTTAGAATGTACTCTTTGAGGTAGTAGCTTTCTTCACTGTACTTACCTATCTAATTAGGTTTTTCTCAATATGTGCTCTTTGAGGGCGTTAATCCGCCTCGGTTTAACTAGTAAGGAGCCGCCTCGAGAAAGAATGAAGTACAGTAGCACAACGCCCCCTGCGTCTTCGGTGGTTACTTCTTTGAGATTTAAGTTTCATATTGGACCCTTTAAGGTTTCTTTGCGAATACCATGTGGCGTTCATAATTATGCCGTTGCACAACGTGGCACAACGTGTTGCTTACTAACAGGGTACATTAGCTACCTTACTTTATACTATATGCCTGCCTCATGATATTATAGTCCTGCAGTAAAAAGCAGCTGCATACAATAATCAATATAGAAATGTGGAGTACAGCAGTGCTATCACCGAAGGGAGCCATTATGTCCAACTAAAAAGCTGGCGCTTTCAGGCTAAGTGGCGTCTGTAGGTATGTAGTCTTTGCCAGCGGACCTTAGCGGGATAACTAACGACCTCGAACAAGCCCATAAGCGCGACTTCAAGTGGGGAATCCCGATAATCAGGGTCCTAAGTTCGAAGCGGCTCTTTCTCTCAAGAGAACTACATATCTTGAAAGATACTACTCGTACGACTTTACTATTACTTTGAGAACACGGACGGAATATCCGCAAGGTAATTAAAGTTATAGAAAGAACATTCATAAAGACTGGAACCTTACCAATAAAATTCCACGGAAATATAAAAGGAGGCTCCTAGAACAAAGCAGTGCGCATGCAAGAAACGAGGCGAGCAACACATGTTAAACAAAGTGTTAAACAACGTGCCCATTATGTAAGGGATCCAAGCACGAGCTTTCCAACTCGTGCTTTATTATAATCTCCTTTCATTACATGTGAACGTTTAAGAATGGGAAATTTTGGCATTAACGGATTTGGGGAAAGAGGTACCTACCTATGTAAGGCGGAATAATTGAGCTTAATTGGCTAGGCTAAAGCAACGCTCTTTACGTGCGCATGTATCTCCTTTTAACTATAATTGAGACGGAAACCACCACCTAGGGATTCCTGTCCTTGCGGTAGGTAACAGCCCCATTCTAACTTAATCTCTACCTTCCCAATGCCTCTTGTTATTGTAAGTCGTGAACAGGTAAGTACAGGTATTCTAGAGGTTTAAACTTCTATTAGACAAGATACTTTCCCAATAGACACATAAGCCTAGGAGGCAGTGATCTAGGTTAGGTAACGTAACGCCGAAATGACGTTGGATGGCAAAGTTCGATCGAGGTCTTTGCCAGAATGAAGATAAATCGAGTTATGAGGGAGCAAGAGATGATAGATTTCGGCTGGCAATGCCTGCATCATCGCCAAGTTATAGGCCTGGGGGTGCGTTTAGTGGCCTACGGTTACCTATCTTCAGCTATATTATCATCGTGGCTTCGATTTTTTACTATGTGGCTACAAGGTAAAATCAGTCATCCATTAGGTTCGACAGCTACCAAATGTTTAAGTTTGTGTAACAGTATACTGATTACTTAAAGGTTGTAAGTTAGAGCTATCATATAGACGCTCGGCTGATTAAGCAATATAGAAAACCTACGAAGGTTGGGGCTAAAAGTCTTGCACATGTCCAAATCTTGGCATCGATTTTCGTACGTCTTTTAACTTATTAATACTGTATCAGCCACATGCTAGGTAAGCTGAGGGTCGGATAGTGGCTTGTCCGCTGAATTCAGGTGGTTTACCGCTATATTTATAGCAACTTCAGCCACCATAACTCAAATAAAACCGTGCAGTCTCTTTTTACTCGCACGTGGCTTTGCCAAGCTCAGATTTGCAAGACTTTTGGCCCCAACCTTCGTACATTTTTATTTTATAGGGATTAAAGTGTACTTAGTCGTATGTACCTATTTGATCGGCTTTGTTGCCGATTTTATCATGTACTCTTGAAATATTATTAGATTAATGACCAACCATAGCCAGAGAATGAATACCCTGGGAATTATATTTGTGTACATGCATAGGACTAGATATGCAGATCGTCTCCGAGGCTTAGCATCGGGATTCGGGACATATAAAACGCTACACCAGGGGATGAAAGTTTTTATGATAGTTATTACTAATCCGATAATATAGACTTGGCATAGCTGTATCGGCAGATCCAATCATAATCCAGATAAATAACCCTAATAATCCTAGTGAAAGTCATGTCACCAGTGGATCGTTAAAATAAGCATAATTGTATGCGTCAGCCCGGAAAAGTGCCCGAGAGTGATTAGAGGATTTCTATTTCGGCATCGTCGAAACCCTCAATTCCGTTTACACGTAAGGGTTCTGTGGCTTGTGCATGGCGATTTCAATCTCCGGTGTGAATAAGAATAAAACTGTGCACGGAATGGTTCCGGGTTTATACTTCAAGTTATTGAGGTTACATCGAATTCGGACGGTCGGAGACATAAAATATTGTAATTCATCCGTTTGATCCCTGGACATGACCTCACGATCGTGGAGATGGAAGGGTTATATGCATGAGGGGGGACATTGACCGAGTGGGCTTAAGAGACATCCGTCCAATGCGTCCCAAGCTACCGTGGAAATCCGACCATCCGTCTACCCGCCGAACTCACTATGGTCGAGGAAGTGGGTAGTTGAGTCTTCGTCGTCAATGCGCCCCAAATCATAGCCACGAGAGGCCGACGCGAGCTCCGACATGGGATTCTGAACTCATATAAGTTAGAATATGTTCCTATCATTTGGGATAGAGACAGTTCGTTAAAACTCTGAAGCTCCTTACCGCGTCTACGACATTCCTAGCAACATGGCGCCTCTAGGTCACGAGAGTTCGCTCAACCTTGTTTTTATAGGCTGCGCACTGGTAAGTCCACTTTCCTCCTCACTTCAGGGGTATGATAATATAGAAGTATAGAAATAAGAATAGTATAACTAACTGGACTCAAGGTGATCGCCGGTGTTGTGGGTAACTTGTTTTACAATGTCTTTCTACACCCACTACGATCTTTTCCCGGCCCGTTCTTATGGAAACTCACACCTCTCTTCAAATATCTACGCTTGTACCGGGGTGACTTGCCCAAGTATATGAAAGAATTACACGCTAAATATGGTCCGATTGTGCGAGTATCTCCGTACGAACTAGCATTCAGCGACCCCCAAGCTTGGAAAGATATCTACGGTCATCGTCACAACGGTGCGCCGGAGTTACCTAAGTACGATGGCTTTTACCGCGCTGTCGACAACATTCCTCGAGGTATCATCAATGCTTTCCGAGACGAACATGGCTTCTTGCGACGCCAAATGTCGCATGGATTCTCGGAGCGGTCAATGCAGCTTCAAGAACCCATTATCGGATCATACGTTGATCTGTTGATTCACCGACTGCAAGAGCAATGTGGCGATGGCTCGACCTCCTTGAATATGCGTGAGTGGCTAAATTGGACCACCTTCGACGTTATTGGAGACCTTGGTTTTGGTTCTTCATTTGGTTGCCTTGACAAGAGTGATTACCATCCATGGGTTAAACTCGTCGCCAACTCAGTGATGCAGGCTGCTTTTATGTCCGCTCTGTCTGATATGGGATTCAAGCCTGCAGTACGGATGCTCCTGCGACTCAAGAAGCTCGCGATTACAGATAACCAGGCATTAGTTCGGGCTAAGCTGAGGCAGAGGATAGAGTCTGGTGTCGAGAGGCCGGATTTCATCGAGGGTCTCATAAAGCAAAAGGACGAGGGAAAACTCGAATTTATGCAAATAGCTACCAACGCAACTACTCTCATCATAGCTGGGAGTGAAACAACAGCGACTCTTTTGAGTGGTGCCGTCTACCTACTTACGACTAACCCGGATAAGCTCGAAAGGCTCACTCAGGAAGTGCGTTCTTCGTTCAATAATGACGACGAAATCACTTTAACTTCTGTCGGAAAACTGTCGTATATGCTGGCCTGTCTTAACGAGTCCCTCCGACGGTACCCCCCTGTGCCAACTGGAATGCCGCGTCAGTCGCCTAAGGGTGGTGCTACTATCATGGGGAAACATGTTCCAGAGGGCGTGAGTATTCCTCTGCTGGTTGTTCTTGTGATGTGAGACTAACAGTTTGTAGACCGTTGTGGCCGTCTGGCAATATGCTGTTAACCATGATCCAAACCATTGGACTGACCCCTATACCTTTGCTCCAGAGCGGTTTATGGGTGACCCGAAGTACAAGGATGACAAGCTTGATGCGATGCAACCATTCAGCGTAGGCCCGCGTAACTGCATTGGTCGCAAGTAAGTTCCCTACTCCCTTGTCGTTCACTTTTAGAAATATGTTCTAACACTCGAAAAAGTTTGGCTTACGCCGAAATGCGCCTCATCCTGGCTAGGATAATCTACAACTTCGATATGACCATTGCTGACGACAGCCGGAATTGGATAAATCAGCGTGTTTACACCTTATGGGATAAGCCGGCGTTGAATATTCACCTGAAGCCTGTTTCTAAGTGAGATTTAATAATCGGATCTTCTACAGAATATCATGGGCTTTTCCCCAGGACGATTACTCGCTTACGAGTAAATTTGTGGAGTCTTGACAACCGGCCAAGAGGCAGCTTCAACCAGACGAGCCCCGGAGGGAAGACACTACTAAATTGTCTAGGACTAGAAAAGCTTGATCTCGAGGAAGTCTCGTAGGTGTTATTGAGGAGTATCAAATTTGTATCATCTTCCCTTGTAGGAGTATTTTTCCTAGGTATCTTAAATTTTGTAGATACTAAGGAGGGAAATCGCTATTCAAATCTGGCAGTAACTTCACGATAGCTAAATATGTGTGCATTTCTAGTATATTTTGACAAACTCATGAATACATTACTTTATACCCCTAAAAGTGAATGCCCATTCTTACTATTTACCTATAACCTAGTCTGATTACAAGATATGTCATGACGATGAGTCGAAATAGCGACTCTTCATACCCAAATATTCAGACGGCATACCGATATTTAAGACGAGCTTCCATTCCAGGCGCGCAGGGAAGTTCACCGGAGTCGAGTTTCTTATTTAAGCCAGCATAGTACTGTCGCATCATCAAGGCCGTAACGACGAAGACACCTTGGGTACAGCCGACAGTAATTAATGCTGGTCGGTAGACAGGTGCATCCTCGGTTCGGTAAACTAACGAGGAAATAATCCCAGCTAAATTCATAGCCATGTAGTTGAGGCCAAGCGACACAGCACGGCCTGTAGTAGTCGGTGTGTTGGATGATAACCACGCTGGGACGAGGTTACTCGGAATAAAGGTAGAGAAAGTGATGAGATATGTCAAGAAGTAGCCGACTTGTGGTTGATGGACCAAGTCTAATGTACCGAGAAGGATCCAAGCCACTAGGGAAATGACTGTTGTACCACAAGCAAATGTTGCTCGTTGCTGATATCGGTCAGAGAGCCAACATATTGTGACTTGAAAGACTGATGCCGTTAGATTGGGCCCGACGGTATAGAGGTTAGCAGTAGTGGCCTCGCTAGTGAGTCTTTTTATCATTGTCTAATGCAGCGATCTTATTAGTCTTCCAACGTATCAAGTAGTGAAGGTAAATTCAAGCTTACTGGTAAGAAATTCGAGCTACTAGCAACGCCGACCCCATACATCAAGGCCATGAAGGCAAAAGCCCAGGTTGGCCAATGCTTGAGCTGCCTCTTCGCTTCATCCCAATGGAATTCCGTATCTTGATCTTGCGAGTCCTGCTGAAGGCGGTGCTTAGCAAGCCTAGTTTCTTTCTCTGTATACCATCGAGACTTCTCAGGACTCTGAGGGGCAAAGATGTAGAGGTAGATTGCCACTACAACAGTAATCGAGCCTTCGATGAGAAATAAATATTGCCAACCCTTATCCCAGCAACTAATGTTAGGTAGATTCCGCAAGTAGATAAGTCTATGGGCAACTTACATGTAATTTACCCTTCCACTGAAATACACTCCATGAAATTAAGCCAGAGACAGCGCCCTAAATACTTGTAAGCAGGGTGAATTATGTATAGGTACGCATTACCACTTGCTGCAATGAATCCCATCTGGCCAATCCAAGACACACGGAATGCCATCTCTTTCCGCGTATAGAACAAAGACAAGTAGTAAACCTCACAGGGCTTATCTAGGCTTTATTGTTAGTATGACAATGAGAAATCTCAATACTATTTTTAAAAAGTGCATAGATTTTAGGAGAATTCGTAGGTCATCTAGCTAGCTAGTGGAAAGGAGTGTTGAGAAGAAATACTCGTTAAACGTACTAAAATATCGATTAGCACTTAATACTGAACGGCAAGGCATTATCGTACTTACCAAGCTGCTTCAATAGCACCCATTACAATTCTTGTCGCCATAATACCAGCAAAGTTCTTGGCGGCGGCAGCGCCCATGGTACAAGCTCCCCATCCTAAGATAGTAAACGGGATCACTCGAGCAGAGTTGTACTTCTTTGCGAGTATCGACCAGGGAATGTTAAAGATAGCGTAGGGGACATAGAATAAAACAAGTAATAGGGAGAATTGATTGCCCACGAGACCCAGATCCTTCTCCAGGCCATCAGTCTTCGCGTTGCCAAGATTGGCACGATCAAGAGTATGCGTGAAGTATGCAAGAGCTTTGACGGTTAGCTACACCATGAGTATAGGCAGATACGAGAACGAGAAATTACCCGCGAGTGAGTCTCACCTAAGCCTGGCATCATTAATAGGTCTGTTTTCCTCACGAGTCGCTTCTCTGCTGCGGTATCATTTTCAAGTAACCTATCGTCACTCACAGTCGCGGAATCATGCTGCTTTTCCTCTCTATCGCTACCCCCCATGGCTAACTGGATCACTGGGTGGCAAACAGGTGGCCAATATTATATATACTAGATGAAATGAATAATATATCGTAAAATGTCCAAGAAATAGATATACGGTAGTAACTTAAGACTGTCGAGATTCATATTATAATTATACCATATTAATAGTTACGATATAAATGCCCGGGAATTCTTTCTCGCGATAATAACTCTTCGATCCATGCTTTGGACTCGGGTCGCCCTAATTGCGTGATACCCAAGTACTCATTACCCCCCCTGCGATGAATAATAAGTAATAAGTCCTCGGATATTGGCAGTGAATCGTTATTCTACTTAGAGCTATCCGAGCTACGGTAGCCAAGATGCACGTCGGTAAACTAAATCCCCGTAGTCTACTCGAATCGGCCCTATCTCCCGACATTCGGAGCTGGGACCCCGAAGGCATGAGGTATATATAAAACCCGTGCCTCATCCATCAGGCACGGGTTTTCAGACCTTAGGAAACACCGCAAAAGCAGCATTTCCTCGTCAATAGAGCCCCCGCTTATCTCCATGGACGGCTCCCTTCCTCTAGCTCGGAGCCAAGCTTATCCCCCACATACCTGGGTAGACATGCCGGCCGGATCATGATGCGATACAAGGGTAGCATTGCGTTACAGGATTCAAAAGATTTGAGAGGTCGACGATATGACTATCTTTCACATGTTCATTGGAGTTTGTCATCTTGATAACGATGTACCTGGACGACTCGAATAGCTCGCTGGCCGGAAAGCCAGATTTGATCATTAGTGTCGGATGCGTGGACTTGGACTACGAACTATTTGGGATTCAAATTACCGAAGGCACCGACATCGCAAATATCGGACGAGAAGTTGGGTGAGAATGACAAAGATGTCGGGTATTAGGTACCGAGATGTTGAATTTTCCATTACACTCAAGAGTCTGCTCGTGCGTCTTACAGGCGAATCTCCCAACACATCAAACCAATGGCTAGTAGTACGACACCAAGCACTGAGCTACCTCCCGGAGAGGATGCCCCTTTTCAGACTGCGGCTAGAATAGACTCGGCAAACCTGGACGAAAGTGCCCTTATTGTCCATGCTCAAGTTTTTCAATATAGCTGGTTGAGACGTTGGCGAGGCACAATAATCGCAGCGAGTCTAGCGGTTCTCATTGCCCCTTTTTCGTCTCTAGGTATTAGTTGGTTGTCACCGGCAGAATCTCCTATCGACCCAACAGACTATGCCCTACGGACAAAGCATATACTAAAGACGACGCCGCTAATTGATGGTCACAATGACTTTCCATGGCTCCTCCGAGTTGAATTGCACAACCGTATTTACGATGGGAGGTTTGATCCAAAACAGCGTTTGCTGGGTCACACGGATATTGGTCGAATGAGACGAGGGATGATGGGAGGTCAATTCTGGAGCGTACACGTCAAATGCGACGCGACGCAGAAACATTTTGAGGATCCATCTGTAAGCCTCTCTTTTCTAGGTAGTGCATAATACGAGTCGTATTCTTGGATTCTAATACCTTTATGCGACGATCAGTGGATAGTGCGTGATACTCTTGAGCAGATTGATGTGGCCAAGCGCTTTATCGCAGAGTCCCCAGAGGTTTTCACCTACTGCGAAACTCCATCATGCGCCCGTGCTGCATTTCGGAATGGCCGTATCGCTAGTATGCTGGGTATTGAGGGCGGTCACCAGCTTGGAGGTTCCATCGCTGCCGTTCGCCAAGCGTACGACCTTGGCGTCCGGTATATCACAACTACGCATAATTGTGATAATGCATGGGCAACATCTGCTTCGACTGTCGCTCGTGGAGATCCTGATAAAGGACTTACGTCACTTGGCGCCGCCTATGTTCGGGAGATGAATCGTCTGGGTATGATGATTGATCTCTCGCACGTTTCTCATCAGACCATGCGAGACGTTCTATCTATCACTCAAACACCTGTGATATTCTCCCACTCAGGAGCATATTCCGTAACCCCCCATCTACGCAATGTACCCGACGATGTTCTTCGTAGCATTCGCCGAAACGGGGGAATCGTGATGGCTGTATTTGTGAATCGCTTCTTAAATATGGAGGATCCGGGGGCGGTTACAATACACGACGTTGTAGATCATGTATGGCATCTCGCTCAAATTGCAGGCTGGGAGCACGTTGGAATTGGGTCCGATTTCAGCGGAACCCCTTTTACCCCTAGCGGTCTTGAGGTGAGTGGCCACATAAAGAGAGGCTCTACACACCCTATGTATACTTAGAATAAATACTGACCACTTTCTAGGACGTTTCGAAATACCCTGATCTAATCGAGCTTATAATGGCTCGTGGAGCTACTGACGATCAAATAAAGCTTCTAGTAGGAGAAAATATATTACGCGTATGGGAGTCGATTGAGCGTAGAGCCCGAGAGATCCAAGCCGAGGGTGAAAAGCCTGTTGAGGAGGAATGGGAAGGTCGAAAGTGGCACAAGGGTTACAAGAACTCGCCTTACATGTACCGAGAAACTCGAGAGAGGGCAGCACGAGAGGACTGGGGTCAACCCGACCAGTTTAACGTTGGCAAGTCCGGGAAACATGGAATCACAGTTAAGGACGAGAAAGACATTTGATAAACCCCAAGATTTAAGTATATTACTGCCTGTAAATATTAAAGGGGCTAGGTCCTACGTGACCTATATTTGCGTCTCAAGCTGGGTGTTGATAGTAACTGAAAAAGGACGAATAATGTTCCTCAAAAGAAATATCTATCCAACTACTTTAATTTATATTACTGTCCTAGATCGATATAAATCATCACATGTATAAGTAGTATCGCTAGATAGGAGTATATGTAACCATCTAACTACCTAATCTAGATACTTGCTATCGCTGGGCTTACCAGAGGCTCGCCAAAGCCACATTAATGCTGTAACTATAGCTTGTTATTCTTATCTCTACGTATTTTCCCTTCTACACAATAGTCGGGGCATAAATCATAGTCCACGAGTCGTCAATGACCCACTATATCACGCAATCCTCAGACTGAGCCATCTTCGATAGAGACTATACATACTAATGTGCTAGGACAAGGGGGAGTCTTCCGGCCACTATGTAGGTCCCGAAATTTTGGCAGGGTTCTGTCCGATACCAACCGCTCGGAATTTCGAGTACTGTATTAAGATAGTTGATGGCCTAGGAGCCGGTTTACCTCCGAATTAACCATGGATTCGTGAGTAAGTTGATAGGTTGTGATTGTCAAGCGTACATTGTATGTATATCGCTAGCAGAGAAATCATAGCATACGATATCCTAGTACCTATCCCCGTTGAGGAATATAGCTACATTATAATGCCTACCTAGGTAGGTTATCATCTATTGGCTAGTTAAGCATCACTGCATGGTACACCTCTATGCGGGGCTCTTGCGTAAACTGAACCTGCCCTCGAAGAGACGCCTCCTACATAAGATGATATTATTTCGGCGTATTCCAGAGCAATACCTCTCTGTCTGTCTGTCTGTCTTTTATCGGTGGGGGCCTTAAAACAATTCATTAACCCTGGTAGCCAAAATGGCTGGTTTGTTCGCCTTATCAGACGACCTCACAAGATTTGATATCTTTCCCCTCGGTTTCCTAGCGAAGCTACTACTACTCATCCCAACTTTATCGTTCTTTATCTACACTGTCATAAACGAGATCGTACGACTAAAAGGTCGAATTCCTAACTTACCAGGACCATGGGGCTACCCCTTATTAGGGAGTCTTCCCTCTTTACGTGGCACAGCTACGTCAGATGAGTACAGAATAGTATGTAATATAAGAGTACCGGTGGCTTGACTAACACCTGTCATAATAGTGGTCCAGGCAATATGGAGACGTATTCCAAGTGCCGTTGGGCAACATGACAGCCGTAGTGGTAAACAGTACGGCGGCTGCCCGTGCGCTTTTCATCGGACAACGGGAGGCGACTAACTCGCGTCCTGTATTCTACGTCCTACACAAGAAAGTGCAGCAGGGAGGACCTGTAACAAGCATTGGGACTAGTCCTTGGGATGATAGCTGTAAGCGGCGGCGCAAAGTTTCCGCCACAGCCCTGAATAAAACTAGTACGGAGAGTTATCTTCCTGTATGTGCTGCTTCATGCAACAGAGTCTGAGCCTCCCACCTGATACCTAATATTATGCGTGGTAGATATTAGACCTTGAATCAAGAGCGTTGACACTAGATATCTTATCTAGCTGCCAGGGTGGCGATGCATCCGTCGACGTGCTTGACCTGACGCGCAAATTCGCGTTAAACCTCAGCTTAACGCTGGCTTATGGAACGCGGTAAGTACTGTTTCTCACTATGGGAGAATGCTAACTAATATAAATACCTACCTATCGAAAGCGTCGAGGATGTGAAAGATTTGCATAGAGACCTAGTTATCTCTGAGATCATCTATATCGAAGAAGAAATATCAAAGTTTCGAAATCCCACTAGCAACTATTCTAACTACATCCCACTTCTTCGGCCGCTAGATACTATTGCAGGATGGCTGGGACTACAGAAGGGTTCGCATATGGCAGACGTAGGGAAACGGCGGTACGCTTATCACCACGTCTTGCAGGAGAAACTGAAGAGAGATATCGCGGATGGCGTCGACCGTCCTTGTATTCAAGGAAACGTTCTGAAGGATCCAGAGAGTAAAGGCCTCACCGAGGGCGAGCTACTCAGCATCGGACTTAGCATGCTCGCGGGCGCAGACACTACTAAACGATCGCTTATGTGGGCTATCCTGCTCCTCGCGCACCGTCCGGACATTCAGGAGAGGGCCTACAAGGAGATCACGGAGACAGACGCCCGCTTACTTGAGTCGCCACACGTTGCGCATTCTAGGGTCGAGTACGTAGAGGCCTTCACCAAGGAAATCGGCCGCTATTTCGTAGTCCAGCGTCTTGCGCTACCGAAAGCCACCTACTCGCACGTTCAATGGAAAGACGCAGTCATCCCCCCTAATACGCTACTATTTCTAAACTCCTGGGCGTGCACGCGAGGTAAGGAGTCGATGCAGACTCATTCATTAGCACGTAATAGGTATTTATAATAGGCACCTATTTACTAACAATCTATGCCCCTAGATCCGTCTGTATTCTCAGAACCCGACGTATTCGCACCGGAGCGTTGGATGGACGGCGACCAGACAGCAAATCGACACCAGTATGCTTTTGGCATCGGAGGCCGAATGTGTATCGCAAGCCATGTTGCTACCAAGGCCCTCTACGCCGTGTTCCTCCATCTCATCGCACACTTCCAAATCCTACCGGCAGAGGACACGATGGACCCCGTTGTGGCGGATCCTATAGAGGGCCTGCTTACCCGGGAAAATCCCATTGCGGGACCCAAGGCTAGGACGGTGCGATTCGTGCCGCGAAATATCGATGTTACTCGACGGATGCTATCCTCGGAAACTTAGTAGGATGTAACATACCTTAGGTATGAAGAGCACACGCTTAGAGAGACTAATAGGGAATCATTACAGCTAAGACTAGTGTAGATAGTAGGCTTGACTAGGGTCAATATATACAAGACTCCTAAACAGAGGATAGTGGAGATAGTTCTGATTTAACGTGAAAAAAAAAGCCTCTGCCAATTATAAATCTATCCGCCCTACCAGATTGTATCTTAGTATTTAACCTAGATATTTTATATCATAATAGTAAGAAGGTAAGTAAAGTAGATAGACGTCGAATAAGACACCCCGTCTTAGTGCCACGCTGGTGTACGGAGGCTCTCTTGAAGCTTGCCCCTAATAGTGGCCTCCGTTGCGCTCTCCACCAACCGTCCAAGCTTTTCATCAACTCTCCCGAACATTGCTGCACGGATCTCAGTCAGCCCATATTGCATTTAGATTGCGGAGATACTAAATAAAATAATAAAAGGCCGAATAAGAGTAACGTACCATAGGCTTCATCTCTGATCCACAGCGTCTGCACGGCGCTGAGGTGAGCAGACAAATTGTCCACGAATCGTTGCTGCGCACCATCCTGCTTACCCATCAAATTCCACAGCGCCGTTGACTGCTCGAAGTCTTTATCCGTTACCTCCGAGGAGAAAACCACGGGTACTCCGCTTTGAGGGAGTGGACGATCGAGTCTACTTGGATTTCCTTTCCAAGCATTGCCATCTACCCCGTCTCGATTATCGCTCCCAGAGCGGAGGAACTTAACCGGCTTTAGCTTCGTTCCCACGTAGTTAGGGTCGCCTCCGTAATTAGAGGTAAAGTTCATGGAGCCGTCCCGCTCGATCGGGCAGTAGACTTGGCTCTTTGGCGCGTTGGTGGGTAGGAACTGATAGTTCGCGCCGAGTCGATAGCGAGCAGCGTCAGGATAGGCGAACATACGAGCCTGCAGCATCGGGTCTGGACTTGGCTCGATGCCTGCCACCATATTACTCGGGCTAAACGCGGCCTGCTCAATTTCCGCAAACCAGTTGGACGGGTTTTTATCAAGAACCATTCGGCCAACCTTGCGCCGCGGATATTTCCCGAGCGGCCAGGTCTTTGTCATGTCGAAAATATCCACAGGCGCATCTCCAATATCTTCTGGACGTATGACTTGCACGTACATGTCCCACGAAGGGAAGTTGCCTGACCTGATTGAATCTTGGAGATCTTCAAGATGCCTGTCGGGCTCGGACCCGGCTAGCCTAGCTCCCTCCTCGTCGGTGAAGTAGTGAATTCCCTGGTTTGTGAGAAAGTGGATTCGGACATAGCAGTACGAGCCGTCAGATCTAGTAAATTTATACGTGTTTCCACTGTAAGCATTCACATGTCGTGTTGATGATGGGAGACCTCGATCTCCAAAGACGAACATCAAGGCATGAATACTCTCCTGGTTGTTGATGTGGAAATCCCAGAACATATCCGAGCTGGCGACTATATACTCGATTAGCAACCATTACATTCATCCATACATAAAATGAAGGCTTCTGGACCACTACAGATCTTCAGATACGCCTCGGGAGAAAATTCTTTTATAATGAACAATCGCACTAGGATTGCTCTTTGGAAATCGAGGCCTGGCTTACCATTAGTCCTAGGATCTCGTTTGTGACTACGGTTCAACGACGGGAACTTCGTCGGGTCTCGAACGAAGAAGACTGGCTATGTCCACGTTGTTAGTACACTCGGGCAATCAGCGCGGACGAATGATGCCATACCTGATTGTTGAACACAAAGTCTTGGTTTCCCTGCTCCGTCTTGAACTTCATAGCGAATCCTCGAAAGTCTCGTACGGTATCTGCAGATCCTCGCTCGGGGGCAACTGTAGAAATCCGGGCAAGGACCTCTGTCTTCTTACCAATACCGGTTAAGAAGTCGGCATCCGTAAGATCAGATATATCATCCGTTACCTCAAAATACCCCCTCGCCCCGGCAGCTTTGGCATGCACACTCCTCTCCGGGATTCTCTCCCGAGCGAAATGTGCTAGGTTTTCGATTAGCTGAGTTGATGTAAGTAGAACAAATCCGCCACCGCTGCCGGTGCGTATTTGAGTCGAAGTGTCATTCTTCGCAAGAGGCTGACCCTCTGCTAGGGTATAGTATGGGGTTTCTGGGATTGTCTGTGATGCCATTATGAGTTTCGTTTAACCACTGTGAGTTTTGAATTCAAGGTAACGAGGTCGACTACTCTGTTCAAGTCCTAAAAAATAAAAATAAAACTTGATGTAAAGATGCACTTTAGGGGTTTTGATTCTGATGCTGTGCGTTATACAGGCCCTGAGTTTGCTGAAGATGCTCTCCTCCAGGGATCAACCATCTTGTCTTATACTTTTCCCAAGGCCCTCAGTCTACATACCGCGGAAATAGCATTCGTCACGACAGTATTGCATAGGAGATACGCATTCCATACCTGCTAGCTTACTCTCACGGGTACAGCAAAATCTAGTAAATCCCATTCAGAGGTAATGGCCATCCCCGAAGTCCGAATCATCGTCAACCTGGTGTCGCGTACCCCTGTTCGGCGTTCCTCGGGCTTCGTTCGGAAAATAGGTGCAGAAGTACATATAAGCTAAGCGTGGAGTCCTTTAGAGATATCGACCATATCTCGGCATGTTCAGTATTTAACTATTTCGACAACTTATATGATAGTTATTTACAATGGAAGCTTATACTTTAAGAAGCTATTATAGATGGAAAAGCTGTATATCCGGGTGCTAGACCCTGAGTTAGTCATGTGTTAATCTTACGCCAAGAGAAAAGGGCGGCGTGTGTGGGTACCTAACTACTCCGAGGACCGGGATTCCGAACTAAAAGCTCCGTACTGTTCCGTTCGGCGGACTTTATTAGAAGTGGGGCGATGATCCTCCCGGCATACCGATCTATCGAGTCCTTTGGGGGGATTGAATTAAACTTTTATTTCTTCGTACTACACCTAGTTTTTAGCATTGATAGGTGCGAATGCCATTAGGTAGTAAGTCGGTCACAACAAGGTTTACGCTCATCTTCGTTGCAGGTTAGAATAAACTTGCATTGCCGCCACCTCGTTGCGTCTGAGCTGATCTTAGATGTAGTCGCTCCCGCGTGGCGAAGTTCCGTAAAGCTATTAATAGGGCTTATTGGTAATTGCTCCAAACTTCATATCGCAGATTAATCGAGAGAAACCTACCTTGGCTATCTAGGGGTATATTCCTCGGAAGGGGAGCGAAGCGTGTTCGTCTTGCTCACCGTATTGCGTTGAGCGACTAGTTATATGTACCTATATAGTATGGATTCGACGGTTGCCATCCAGGTCGAGTTTGAAATTTTTGGTTAAAATATCTGTAGCTAAATGCAAAAAAAGGGACACAGAATTCATTATTGGTATCTATCATGCCATCTAATAGGAGCAAATGCCTCGAATAGAAAAATAGTTGTCATCATTTAAATCATCCCGCTAAGCGCCAGAGTCCTTAGTCATTTATTTACGCTGAAACTCGGATGCCAATAGAAATTAATGTTAGTCGTTTCCGGAAGTCCTGATAGTGATGTTGATGGAACAGATTATCAAGATTCCTAGCGACCACCATAGTCACTGGCATAGCCAATCTGCTCGCCGAAGTTTTGTTGCAGACCACCCTCTCCGAACCCGGTACCCGGGCCACTAACGTAGCCCGTATCATCACCATCGTCGTAATCTGAGGCGTCAAAACTTGAGCGACCGCTAATCTCGTCTTCTACGTTACCCATATCGCCCGCTTGGCCCCAATTCATCTGCGCCAATGCTGGGTACTGTGCTAATAAGGCAGCAGGTAAGGCATAGCCACCCGTCTCTATACCAGGATAAATATTAGGGTCCATAACCGGCTGTTGAGCCATATTTTGTTGCGCCATGCTCTGCATCCGCTGTTCCTGCCATAGGCGTTGTCTCTCGAGCATTTCTTCGTCTAGCAATGGCTTGATACATATGCGGCCTGCTTCTGATCGGAAATGGCGGCCCAGTGCATCTGCTCGGGCGAACCGTCTTCCACAGCCCCATTGGCCCCCGGCTTTGAGATCCCCTTTACACACAAATTTCTTTTCGCCTGAATGAAGTCCTTCGTGACGTTTACGGTCATGTTGTCTAGCGAATGCTTTTCCACAAACCGTGCATACGAAGGGTCTTTCGTCAGTGTGGGTACGCAGATGGGATCGTAAGTTATATGCTCGGGTAAACCGCTTAGGGCAAAGGGTACATTGAAAAGTGGCAGGATGTTTCTGAATACGCTTCGTTCCTCCGTTATCTTGAGCGGCTTGGTATTCAGGGTCTGCTAGGCGGAGCGCTATCACATTATTGGGGACCGCAGACATAGATTGGCGCCTTCTAGAGACAGCATTGGCGCTACCTGACCTGTCACCAGGCGACAGTGAACGAGTGGAGGACTCGGACCCGGAACGACTGCGGTTGGCTAAATCGGCGCCTAGGTGTGGCGACAGACTTCCAGGGGTATTGGGTCGTGAGATAACAGCCCCTCCGCTATTGAAGGGATCCGTAACTGCCCGCGGACGGGACCGTGGGCGACCTGTATGTTTAATTAGGACAGAAATACCAACGTTATAAATAGGACTCACCTCTGTCTGGTGGGGTTAGAGACTGCGCGTCCATCGGCGGTTTCGGGGGCTCGAAGCTATTTTGTCGTGAATTAGGCGCAAAGTCGATATTTATAGACGGTGGAGCCATAGGTTGAGCTATTAACGGGTCTATGGGTGCTTCTTGATATAAGGAGGGAAACTCTTCCGAGGTTTGAGCAGGGTAGCCCATAGGAGGGTTAGGATATCCCGTGCTTAACATGATATTCTGACCTTGCTGACCAGCGTCAGGCATCTGTTGAGGGAGTATTCGAGGGGAGATGGCTGGGCTGTGGGATGGGCTGCGGCTATTTGGGTTGGGTCCCGTTATGCTAAAGTTACCTAACCCAACAACCCCATCGTAAAAGTCTTGCGGCCGCTGCATGGGCGAGTGGCCGTGCTCTGGGTGTTCGAAGCTATCGTGGCCTGTCAAATTTGGCGACGGGGCGACTGACGATGCGTCGGAGTACTCTGACGGTGTCCTTCGATGTCCTTGGAACTGCGGTTGATTCCAATCCAACTGACCCGGCATAAAAGCAGCCTCGGGACCTAGTGAGGCGTGTCTTGAATGGCCAGGCGAAGAAAACTGATGTTGATTAAAAGATGGAGACTGGTGTGCCGAACCTGGCTCCGGCTTTAGAAGATGCGGCGGAGTAGGCGAGTGGTGTGTCTGTGGGGACGTCATATTCGTTAGATCGTTCGGGTCGAGGGATTGCGCATGTGTCTGAGACAAGTCGCCAAACAGAGGTGTACCAAACTGGTCACCTTGGGTAGACTGGGGGAATAGCGAGAAATCGCCGCTGCTGTTGAAATCCGGACCTAGGAGACTCTGGGAGAATGTGGGTTGGGATTGCGAGGTGAGGGATTGGGAGTAGTCTTGGTTGAGCCCGAAGGATGTCGGATCAGCAAGACCCTGCTGGTTGAAGGGCTGCGACTGCGATGTATTAAAAAACCGGTTGCTATCGTTGTTGCTAGGGTAAGTGTTGAAGTCGGAAGTGAACTGGGGGCTCGCTGATGAGGAGTCTATAGCAATGCCGAGGCCGATCGATGATTCCGGGGACTGATATGGATGAGGCGAAGGAGAATGACTATTTCTTATATGAGGCTGTTGGTTCCCGGCAGACGGTGAACGGCCGCGAGCCGACCCTGCAGATTGGACAGCTTGTTGATCCATGGCGCGTAAGTTGTTTCTGTCTTTAGAAACCCCAAGTCTGGCAAGGTTGAATGCACTCGACCGCGAGTCTGCCTCACGGCGTGGCGCAGCGCGGATGTGTTTGAAGGGGGCTGTGTTAGGCAAGTCTGACCCGTTCCTAATGCTGTTTTTGGCGTACGATGTGGACCAAAAGCGACTCTTCTTTTAGTTTAGACTGTTTAAGAGGATATTGTAAATGTGGGCGACACAATCCAGTCTAATATTATGAACTCTTTGTTGAATTTGATGCTGTACTGTGCAATGCAGTATAGTGGTATTTTTACCTCCGTCGAGGGTGAACAAAGACGCACTGCAGGAACAGATGGGGGGAGGGGGGGGGATGCGCCCTGAATTGCTTAGCTGGCTGCAAATCGCAACGTTTCGCTATGAGATCTGCGACTGTGATACCCTAGCTAGGTACTTCCTCTCCGAGTAGCCAAGCAAGCCAAGGGGACAGAAGAGTCGCTGCCTCGAGGTACGTGACGTGTCGCGCAGAATAGAAAACGCTCTTGTTGTTATACGGCGTATGAGGCAGTGTAAGTGACCGATAATAACAACAAGCCTACTACCTTAGAACGAGCTAAGTGCCCAAAGCGATTGATGCAATATGTTGGTGCCCCAAGCTATTCAGTCCAAATCATCCGCCGTTGATCGCTGTTGTTTCGTATCTTAAAATAATCCTTTCAAGGGACCTTCAAGCCGGTTCGACTACGGGACGGGTTCTCCAGTGCTAGGTCGGTGCTGCTGTCGTAGAATGAGCCCGATAATCACGGCGTGGAAGAAGCCTCTTGTTGGCGTTGCGACACTTTGACTGGGTGCTGACGGCGATAATTCTAGGACTACTCAAATTCGATAGGTTGGAATCTTGGAGTCTTGAGGGTCTATTACAATAAGTTAGCCAGTTTGATTTTCTGGGAGGACCACCGGCGCTGACTAAAAGACGTTGGTCCCAATTGGTAGTAGGTGATGACGGGTAGTAATTGAAGTAGGTTAATGACTTTGAAGGAGCGCAAGATATAAGTAATGAGTAATAAGTCACACTTTCACTCGGTCGCAAGATGGTAAGGTATTGTAGCGGGCAGCACCAATCTCCCATTATCACCCCGCCCTATCGCCCCACCTGCCTTAAGATGCTATATCACCGGCGAATTCGTTAATTAAATACAGGTATGTTAGGTACCTTCTTAGGCACATAATTCACTCTGATATATTGTACTCAAGTACCCGACTATTAAGTATACGTAGATTCGCAATCCCTTTATAACATTGTGGAGGAATTGCGCTTTAAAATAGATAATATAAATATTAATTAATTTGTATAGGAAAGTCAGTATGAGTTTATAAGAACGATTCCAACAAGACGAAATAGAACGAAATAGTATCTCCGAAACCACCTAATTCAGGCACCTACATTAGGTACATTAAGTACTAAGTGTAAAGGCTAGCATAATTAGGCCGTAAGAAAACAGCAGGATGTGCCTACCTCATAAGCGGTAGTCATGCTCAACTAACACGTGCAACTCTCTGCTGCTGTTATGTATATATTAATCATCCGGGGTCCAACTCCCCTGATCTTAGGGCTGGCCTAGTACTCGTTTAGTAACATAAGCAACATCGGACGAGAAGGTACCTAGGTACCTAAGGTAGTATCGCTAACAATATCCGCCTCGGATTTGCTTCCATACATGTACATTTTACATATCCAAGCACCAATACAGGCAGACAGGGTACTAGTGTACATAGATATCCCTCTAACCTCGTCAAGACGAAATGGCCTTTATACATTTACACGACGTCGAAGACTTGGATATGCATGAGAAGCTCGTCAATTATCCCATAGCCTACCTCGAATTGTTCGCCGTTCAAGTTAAGCTACCCGATAGAAGGTGTGTATTCGCAAGTAAACGAGTAGGACAAGACGGATGTCATATTAGCTCCGCCAATCGCCCTGCATCGTTGCCAATCTACTTAGTAGTATTAGGCAACCATGTTTCTCGAAGGGACCTCCCCTTTTCGAGGCGGTGAACGGGGATCTTCTTGTTTCCAATTGTCTCGACATCTCGACAGAAGAAGACATTGGGTACCGATCTGGATATCGATCAGTCTCATTCGCATTAATTCCAGGAGACGTCACCCCTTGACGGAATCCTTTTATGGTGACCTGCCATAGTATTGCCGTCTTGGCAGAAGCGCTTGCTATGTATGAGGTATGTATTGTACCTATGTATTCAGCCCTGGCAGAAGGACGTCAAAAAAAGGTGGCGCACCTACCAGGACCTCATGTTAGTAGAGGTGCGCCACCTTTTTTGACGTCCTTCCTGCCTTCTGGGTAGGTAGGTACTTGGGTGTGTACATGTAGGTGGTACGCTTAATGATGCAAGTCATGGAGCCTGTCCAATCGAAATGGATCTTTGGACCCTAAGATTAGGTAGTCTAGCGGTAGTGATGCTAGTGTAGCGTCGGATTAGATTGGAGCTCACAGCGCCTCGCACCTGGTGACCAGCTTTTGCAGCTCAGGGCCCGTCGCAGGGCCGTTCAGGGCCGTTCAGGGCCGAACAGCGATAGAAGCCACCTAGAATGTCGCTAAATGCAAGTGAGAGAGAACACGTTGCCGTGTAAAAGGTCCACATTCAACCTCATGCGTGACGATTTCTTTCCACCACAATCTATACAGTTACCTACTTCGGCACATCCTTTCGTTTACACTCCGGTAACTTCGTTTTCCTGTGGCAACTTTCATCAATCAACCAGTTACTTTTAGAGTTAGACCAGTAATCGTCAAAAAGATATGTGGCATCTTTAAAGATTCTAGTTAACTACAGTTATCAGAAACTTTCTTCGCATATCGCCAACCCCTCCACCGATTCAAGTTTTTGATCGATCGAGCTAGTTTCGTTCACTTTTTATGCTCGTTCATAGGTAGCGATTAACAATCTATTTAAATATATTCTTGCATTTGTTTAGTCTTCCCTCTAGGACAAGAATTACCGCGGTATCGTCCCGCCACCCTCGTCGGCTGCTATGGAGAGCGCCTTCGCGAAGCCTACAAGCGAGGTCTTAGCCGCCTTTCAGGTAGACCCAAAGGCTGGCCTTACAGATGAACAGATTACTGAGCTACGGAATAAACATGGGAAAAACTGTATGTTGCAACGCGCCAGACTAGAAAACAGCCAAGTCGATGCGTATGCTAACTTTAAGTACTGTAGCTATCCCAGAAGAACCACCGACACCCCTATGGGAGCTTATTCTCGAACAATTCAAAGATCAATTGGTTTTAATACTCTTAGGATCTGCGGCTGTGTCCTTTGTCTTGGCTCTGCTCGAAGACGAGGAAAGTGGCTGGAGCGCATTTGTCGATCCTTTGGTTGTAAGTTTTACCCGCTTCTTATTTTTGCGACCCAGAAGCTAACTTGACCGGTTCCTAGATTCTTACTATTCTCGTGCTCAATGCTGTCGTCGGTGTTTCCCAAGAAAGCAGCGCTGAAAAGGCGATCGCCGCGCTCCAAGAATACTCTGCAAACGTCGCTAGCGTGGTTAGGAATAATGGACATGTCTCGCGGGTCAAAGCCGAAGAATTGGTTCCTGGTGATATTATCTCGGTGGCGGTTGGCGACAGGGTACCTGCCGACTGCCGTGTTATTGCGATCGAAAGCAACAGTTTCGCCGTGGACCAGGCTATCTTAACTGGAGAAAGCGAAAGCGTGGGCAAGGATGACAATGTGGTCGTGAAAGATGAGAAGGCAGTCCTCCAGGACCAGGTCAATATGCTCTTCTCGGGGACGACTGTCGTGACTGGGCGTGCTAAGGCCATCGTGGTTCTGACTGGATCGAATACTGCGATTGGCGACATCCACGAGAGTATCACGGCTCAGATTTCCGAGCCGACTCCTCTCAAGCAGAAGCTCAACGATTTCGGCGACTCCTTGGCAAAGGTTATTACAGTTATCTGTGTTCTCGTATGGCTGATCAACATCCCCAACTTCGCGGACCCAAGTCATGGAAACTGGACCAAGGGTGCTATTTATTATCTAAAGATTGCGGTCTCTCTCGGTGTTGCAGCTATTCCTGAAGGTCTTGCCGTTGTTATCACTACTTGCTTAGCCTTGGGAACCCGCAAGATGGCCGCAAAGAATGCCGTCGTCCGAAGCCTGCCATCTGTTGAAACACTAGGAAGCTGCAGTGTTATTTGTTCGGACAAGACAGGTACTCTTACAACTAACCAGATGAGTGTGAGCAAGATCGTCTACATTAACGCAGATGGTACCGACTTAGAAGAGCTTGACGTAGAGGGCACTACTTTTGCACCGAAAGGAGATATCAAGCATAACGGCAAAGTGGTGAGGGATCTTGCCCAAAGCTCAAGTACGATCCGCCAGATGACCGAGGTCGCTGCCCTTTGCAATGATGCTAGACTCGTGTACGATACCCGATCCGGTACTTTCTCTAATGTAGGCGAGCCTACCGAAGGAGCCTTAAGGGCTCTAGCTGAAAAGATTGGGCCATGCGCACCGACAAACTGGAGACTCGAGGACAGCGTCCACCACGCCAGCGGCTGGTATGAAGCCAAGTTCCCTCGACTTGCCACATATGAATTCTCTCGAGACCGGAAAAGCATGTCTGTCCTTGTCCAAGCCGGTGACCAACAAAAGCTCCTGGTTAAAGGTGCCCCCGAATCTATTATCGAGCGTTGTGCGTTTACCTTGGTTGGTGCTGATGGCAACCGTGTTCGTATCGACAACAAGCTTCGTGGTCTACTCTTGAAGGAGCTCGTCGAATATGGTAACCGTGGACTACGAGTTATTGCCCTCGCTAGCTTAGATGATGTTGGATCCAACCCCTTACTTCACAATGCCAAGTCGACAGATCAATATGCCCAACTGGAACAGAACCTCACCCTACTAGGTCTCGTCGGCATGTTAGATCCTCCTCGACCAGAAGTTCCTAGAGCTATCAAGCAATGCAAGGACGCCGGTATCAGGGTTGTCGTTATCACGGGTGACAATCGCAACACCGCGGAGAGCATCTGTCGCCAGATCGGAGTCTTTGGAGAATATGAGGACCTTAAGGGCAAGAGTTTTACTGGTCGGGAATTTGACAACTTAAGCCCTAGCGAGCAGCTAGAAGCAGCGAAACATGCATCTCTCTTCTCGCGTGTGGAACCCAGCCACAAATCGAAGCTTGTAGATCTCCTCCAGTCTCTCGGTGAAGTTGTAGCTATGACCGGAGATGGTGTCAACGATGCCCCCGCTCTCAAGAAATCGGATATTGGTGTTGCAATGGGATCTGGTACTGACGTCTCTAAGTTGGCTGCTGACATGGTCCTTGCGGATGATAACTTCGCTACTATCGAGGTTGCCATCGAGGAAGGCCGATCTATCTACAACAACACGCAACAGTTCATCCGCTACCTCATTTCCTCGAACATCGGAGAAGTTGTCTCAATTTTCCTCACTGCCGCCCTGGGTATGCCGGAAGCTCTTATTCCTGTCCAACTGTTATGGGTCAACCTCGTTACCGATGGTCTGCCTGCTACCGCCTTGTCTTTCAACCCTCCGGACCATGATATTATGAAGAGACAACCACGAAAGCGGGACGAAGCGCTCATTGGCGGCTGGTTATTCTTCAGGTACCTAGTTATTGGACTTTACGTTGGTATCGCCACTGTTGCCGGATATGCCTGGTGGTTCATGTATAACGCCGAGGGTCCTCAGATCAATTTCTACCAGCTTTCTCACTTCCACCGATGCTCTACCGAGTTTTCGGAAGTCGGATGTGAGATGTTCAGTAACGAAATGTCTAAAGCAGCATCGACGGTATCCCTTTCTATCCTCGTCGTCATCGAGATGCTCAACGCCATGAACGCTCTATCGTCTAGCGAGTCCTTACTGACCCTGCCTCTCTGGAAGAATATGATGCTGGTCTACGCCGTCACTTTGTCGATGGCGCTCCACTTTGCACTCCTTTACACTCCCTTCCTCCAGGGCTTGTTCTCCATCCTGCCTCTTAACTGGAATGAGTGGAAAGCGGTGCTTATTATCAGCGCACCAGTTATGTAAGTTATCTTCCTCATCATAGTTGGCTCTGCAAAATACTAATTTTGTCACAGTATCATCGACGAAATCCTCAAGGCCGTCGAGAGGCAGTTCTTCATCCAGAAGACGACGTATGATGTTACAGAGGCCAAGAAGAAGGCGTAGCGGGGCATAGATCCAAGTTCTACATAGACTAGAGTAGACGTATTACATTGCATATGCAAATTAGGCTGCGCAATATAGATGTATAAGAAATACGATGCATTTATGAGACGATAAATAGCATAAGGGATTCCGGATTTCGCGTGAAGGTTTTCATCTTGACTTTGGCCACCTTGCTTAAGGTACTACCTTTGATATTAGTACAATAACGGGCTATTTGCCATCTCGTGTCTGCCTCTGTCCATTCGCTATGTCTTATTTGCCTTACTCCAGTAGATATTTCTTTCTAGTCCTTATCTATTCGTGGAGTTGACCAATCCACCCTGTTCGAATTACTATTTACCTTACGTATGAGGTATCTAGTACACGCCAGTAGACCTAAGACAGCACCGGACCAGATATAGTCTGTCTCCTAATCTTGTCGGCCCTTTAGTAATCGCTTGGTGACCTTGTCCTTCTCAATAATGTACACGTGCGCACCCCAGCCTGATAAAGCATCTCGGTCGACGGCGCTTAGCAGAGCCTGTGAGATTGTTTCGAATAGGTCATCGGGGCCCTAGATCGTGATATTATATTAGTATGTCTTCGTTCATCCGAGAGGAAAACATCCAAATTCGACAAGGTAGGAGGCTCGTTGTGTGTATATACGGGTCATATATATATATATATATAGGTTTATATGGTTACTCACTAGATCGGGCTCCCACAAGCTTTCGCACATGCCGAATAGCTGCTCGGAAGCGGTACCGCTAACGATGAAATCCTTGGCGAAGTCGATGCAGCCGATGGAGTCGAAGCCGCAGATAAAGGGCTTGCCAGTCTTGGGCTCGAGGCCGGCGACGACGGGGCTGACGAAGTAGGGGCCGAAGCGGCGCTCGTACAGAGACGAAGAGACGAGGTTGGCGAAGGTGGTGGGCGCGATGTTGCGCTCCTCGCGCAGTCGGTACATGTTCACCTTGTACCGGAACAGGTCCGACACCGTGGACACATCGGTGGCCAGGCCGGTGAGCCCTAGGAATACGTCGCCGTATTGGAAGATCTTGGGGAAGTTGTTGGAGACGGTGAGGGATTGCAGACCCAGACGCAGATCGCAGGCTATGGCGACGCAGTCCTTGCCTACCATGGCTACTGCGGCGCCGCCGTCTGTGCGTTCGCTCGGTTAGTTATTTATTCATTCTCGGGTTGGGATTTGGGCTGGTTCCTAGGAGGATAGGAGTAGGAGTATGGTAGTGCGCACTTATAGAGAAGGGTGACGACTATTTCGTATATGTTAGCTTGGGAATGTCCTCTTAGCTGGGGAGCTTTGGGCTATTATATAGAGCTTACCATGGCGTCGAATGTATTACTAGAAAACAAAAATATGTCCGCTTGAGTTTGGTGGTTCGTAGATGATGTCTCGTCGTCGAGTAGCAGTTTGCTGTGGTGAGGATAGCTCAATGGCGTGGGCGTAGGGCGGGCTTGAGGTTTGGCTGTAATGGTAGAATGGCAGGATGGCAGCTTAAGGTCTAGGTACCAGACGTTAGCGTTAAGCGTTAGCGTCGGCAAGGCAAACACATCTGGCGCGGCAGCTCAGCTCCAGATCGGACCAGGTCAAGTCCGGCACGGTCTTTCGGAAAATTGACGGCTAATCAAGTCTGGTATTACAGAAGTATACTTGTACTAGTGGAAAACATCAGTGCTCCGCTTGCCCCTCCATTCAATCAGTTTATGGAAGCTACCATACCAAGTTCGGCTGGTTCTAGTAAACCGTTAATTCACCGTGTTTTCACCGTTTAAATTTTTTTTCATTAATAAAATTCCAACTTCTTGAACGTTGAATAACTTTAGCAAGCGTTTGGAAATATTTAAATCATTTGAAAGCACTTCGGATATTTATATTTTTAAATTACCAAAATCTAACGAGGCATTTAATTTTTTAATCGTTGGAATCAACTTTCAACGTTTACGCGTTTATAAAAAAGGAGACGGGAGAGCCACGGGAGCCACGGGAGCTAACGGGAAGGTACGTATACGTACAAACGAGCGTATAAACGCAATTAGAAGCAGTAGGACTACCTAGGCTATTGAAGATTTTACAATTCTACGATCTTACAATCCTACGATGCTACGATACTACGATGCTACGATGCTACGATGCTACGTGATGAGGCTACGTGATGAGGCTACGAGGCTACGAGGCTACGATGACTCCTGGGTCCTAGGTCCTAGGTCCTGGCCACAGTGGCTTGGCTTGGCCTGGCTGGCTGGCTGGCTGAGGTTTAAAGACTTAGAAGGAAAGAAAGAGGAATCGCTTTCGAAGGGGGGAGAGGCCTTTATATAGACGGCCTCATTCCGAAGACTTAATCAGCCAGGCAGGCCTCTTACCCGGCTTCTTGCTACTTGGGTACGCTTCTAAAGACGTATTAGAGATCGACAGGGGTAGCGGGAAAGAAATAAACGCTTAAACGTTCGAAAGCCTCTCGAACGCTCGAATCATTTAAATGATTTAAAATATTTAAGTATTAGTATATTCAAATATTTCAAGCCCTTTCAAACGTTTAGATTTAATTTGTTATTAAAAGCATGTCAAACGTTAGTATTTACTAACATTTATCATCTTAAATATTTATAAAAGTGTAACTGTAAAAAGACGGTTTACAATTTCAAAACCGTTAATAGCAACCAGCGGAACTTGGTATGGTACTATTGCGCAGCTACATACGATCTAAAGGGCTGATGTAATCGTACTGCTACCTACAAGACGCATATACAAACGGGACTTTTGAATATTCTTTCATATTCTACTCGCAACTTTCGTCGGACGCGTCACTTTTTCTTTTGGAATCAAATTAGCTACGTCTCTGTTATTTCTATAGTTATTCAAGTTTCTTAAGAGGGTCTTTTAAGAAAGTCTCACTTGAAAATATAAAATACCTATCGTCGACCAGATCCTACAACACATGGCGACCAACGTCAAGGTTGTGGGAACGGACCTCAAACAGGTGACCATTAAGGTCAATCCTGGAACCTACCTGACAGATGTTTTAGAGCAAGCTTGCGAGAAGCTCAAGGTCCCCTCTAACAAATACTTATTCAAGCACAAGCAAAAGCAGTTAGATCTGTCGCAGACATGGCGAACCTCAGGTCTACCACCCGGCGCCAAGCTCGAACTCATCGCCCGCTCTAACACCCCTTCCGCCATCAACGTCGCCTTACAACTCCCGGCTCCAGAGTCAAATCTATTCCCGCCGTCCGGTCGAGTCACGGACAAGCTACCGAGCGATCTCACAATATGGCAGCTATTACGCCAGTTCGAGAGCGGCAAGGCGAGTCAGGGGAAGAACCTAAACATCACGGCGAGGGGTGTAGCGCAAACAAATAATGGAGCGGCCGCGGGTAGTGGACAATTGTATTATGAGACTCCGGTCCTGACGATCGAGAACAGAACGCTGTCGACTTTTGCAGACTTTCAGAAGAGCCTATCGCAGTTAGGGTACAATTCGGGAGGCGTCCTAATACGTCTATCTTTCCAGAAGACTGACAAGACGTTGGTGGATGCTATGGGAGAGATGAGTCAGTTCTTCAAGACAGAAGAAGCGAATCAGCAGAAGGCACAGGAATCTAGCAGCGAACCAACGACGATCAATGATGCTGTCCTTTCGACTGATGCGCCGCCTTCGGATAGTGTAATGAGTGACCCTTCAGCAGAGAAGCCGGAGACGGATACGTCTGAAGCAGTTCAGCATGATGACACAGACCTTCCTTCGGCGGCACAAGCACCTCCGGTAGATTCTATGGACGTCGACGTCCCATCCGCTGATAACCGCCCTGTCACCATATTCTCTGCGCCTGCCTCCGGTACGCCAGCTGCAGCCTTACGAGAAGAGTCGGACGAAGCCTTTGCCCCACGCATCGAGCATGCGCAGGCCCATCAAAGGCTGCTAAAGACCGCAGGTGAGAACAGGCGCCTCCTCTCGGACAAGGAGCTCGAAGAAAAGGCTGCGGCCGAAGCAGCTAGGGTAGCGGCCGTCAAGTCTATCAAGATCAAGGTCCGCTTCCCAGACAACTTTTCCGCAGAGTGGCCTTTCGGTCCGGACGACACCGGCGCAACGCTGTACGCCGAGATCAGGAAAATCATGGCCAACGAGGCGGTGCCATTTAAACTAGTATTGCCGCCCGGCAAGACGGCGATCAAGGACGACAGCAGCCCCGCGAGCAAGCTCATCGGCGGATACCGTTTAAGCTCCAATACGCTGGTGAATTTCATGTGGGACGACAAGGTGCCTGCTGAGATTCGGAAGCAGCCGTTCTTGAAGAACAGCGTCGCTGGTCACGCGCAGAAGGTGGTTGTTCCTGAAGTCCCCGATGTTGTAGTCGAGGATGAGGCGGGCCATAATACTGCTAACATATCAGTGCCCGCACCCCAGCCAAGGGGTGAAGGTGAGGGGTCCGGGTTCAAGAAGCCCAAGTGGCTAAAGGGGTTCGGGAAAAAGTAAAAACGGCTACGACGAATGATGTCCTATGTGTTGAGTTTAGAATCAGGGAATCAACATCTGCTCGGAGTTTAGGTAGCATTATCGAGGACTGTTCACATGGCACAGAATCATCAAGAACCGATTTTTTAAAGTCATGAAATGAATATAATTTGGCTTGCCAAATCAAGATTCCCAGGTCTTGTTCCTATTCGTGTCGTAGGCTATTTGGGATTCAGGTAGATAGCTATGGCTATGGCAAAGCTAGCTATCATGTCCGTACCGATCCTCCGTAAATTCATCAATGCCGAGAAAGACGAACGCCTGACCTCATGCCGAACAGTTTACTTCTTTCTTTTGTTCCCTCGACGCCCCGTTAGACTGCCATAATTTCCCACTCGAGATCATGTCGTTTAGTGACCGGCTCTGCGGGACTCAGCAATGACGCGCTGGAGCTCGTCGACCTTCTTCTTGGCACGGCCGAAGGTACCGAGCTAATAATTTGATTAGTCTTGCGATGCCCGAGATGGAGAGGAATTGGAGGTGATGCATACCCGCTTCTTGGCTAGCTTACGAGCTCGCTTGTCCTTGCTGTTTCGCAGCAGTTCGATGACGCGGCGCTCGTAGGGGGCAAGACTATGGTGAAACAGATGTTAATAATCTAATGTTGTCAAGATGGATTTTGAGGGCACTCCATTGCCACCCATCGGGGCCATTTAATCCTGGATAACGGCCAGGCATTGAAGAAGTATATATTTATAGAATGAACTTACCCAGCAACCTCCTTGACGATGTCACGAACGAAAGCAGTGCGCTTGCTGAGGTGGCCCTTGGTTCGCGAAACGCGAGGCTTGACGACACGAGGAGTGGTTTTCTATAATTACCGAGGAATCCAAAAGTCAGCCCATTGTCCATCGTCTGCTATACTGCATTCGTAAAAGAGCAAAAAACTTTGATTGCAAGAGCAGAGATCCTCCACGAGGTGAGACGGGCGGAAACGACTCTTTGTTTCTTTCGCAAATTTGTTCTTTTTTTGCTTTTTCGAACGCAGAGAAAGGCGGGTAGGTAGTTCATCTTACATGGCCGCGGTTGAGACCGATGGTGAGCCCGGTACGGGCTGGCGCTTCCTTTGCCATCGCGGAAGGTGTTGGGTGGTGGTGAGTGATGGCTGTTGGGTTAGTAGATTTTCGCGGTGGGAGGGAAGAGAAAAGGTTATGAAAATTTCCCAGGCCTAAGTTTGGAGATTTTGCAATTGAGCCGGTGGGTTTGTGAGTGTGGGGCGGGGCGGATGTGGAAGAATTAAGCGAATTTTTCGCGGCTCGTTTTTATTGGCTAGCCTCGCTTCTACTCTCGAGATAGAGGATACGTGGTCCGTGTCCAATCAAATCAATACCTTAGGTAAGGTAGCCTATCGATATAGTGTAATACCTAGGTACATGTAATTGTCATCTCATTGGAACGCGGATGGCGGATGACGGATGGTTGGTATGGCTGCTAAGGTAGCACCGACTCACCGACGGTGTCCGTTCTTGTACATACACGAAAAGTCGTATTCGTGCTGAGGGTGTGATAGATGCATGCGTGCATCGCAACCGTCCGTATCTATGTTTTGTACTTCTTCTCATCCTTCTCAATTCGTTTTCATAACCACCATTTCGTCATGATATCATACAAGAGAGAATCATTCAAACTATGTACTAGCGGCGTTGCCCGTCCGCTTAAACGCGGACGGGGGAAAGGGGGAAGAGGAGGAGAGGGGGGGGGTTCATGCGTAAAACTCACGCCACAAATTGATCTGGCCTCTGATTGGCTAGCCACACCTCAGCGCACGTCCGATGAATTCTTTATAAAATCAATTAAATTGCTTCACTTTTAGGTAAAATTTTTGCTAATTGATATCGTTGAATAGAGCTCGTTTTGCATGACCTTTCTATACCATTTGCACCTCTTGCAGACGTTATGCGATAGAATGGCAAAGGGAAAAGTCGCAAACTGCGGGGCGATTCTAAGCATCTGATTCGTTGAAAAAATTGTGGCAGTACTAATTAAATATATAAGACTTGATAATCTTAGATGAATGACAGCATGGCTGAGCATGGCTGACGAAAATGCAAAAAGTGGATCGTCATTTTGCACATCGGAATGTCGCTTGTTACCGGGGTGTTGACGATATGACGCAGCTCTCTCCTTGTGTCACTACGGGTAGCTAGCTTACATAGTGAAGCTGCTGCGCCTATGCCTGCTATCAATTGAGGTACCTTAGTAGAGCTGGTTAGTTTAGGTAGAAGTAGGTAAACTTAAGGTAGGTTCAGGTACGCTAAAGTTAACTAGTTCAAGTCGTGTCACCTCATAAACATTGAAACCACCCGATGAAATATTTACGAAACCTCGTCCGAGACGTAGGTAAGAGCTGCTCGCGGCCAGCTCATTTTTTGTTTTTTGACTTAGCTTTTTACAATAGGTAGTGACACTTGTTTTTGTTAAGCAAGCAACTGTTTTTTGTTTTTTTGTTTTTTTCGCTTTGCTCTCTCCCCCCCCACTACGCCCATTCGCTATTGCTGTTCACTTCTTTCCTTCGCAGGCTCGAAGTCAGCCCTGCTGTCACTCATTCGAGGTCCCCGTCTCTGTTTCTCTTTCTCTCTACCAATAACTAGGGTTACTGCATGTCCCAACTTGCAGTATCACCTGCATCAACCATGCTCCCGAGGGGAGACACGTCGTCTTCCACCTCATTCACCACTACTACATAGTTCTCTTGTCGTTGTTGTTGTTGTTGATCATTATGTTTTGAATCGAGTCCTAGCCGGTTGGTTTTGGTGTCTTGGGTGACAATTTTTGCATCTTCACTTTTTCTTGGTCCGCATTTCTTGGCCCGCCCTTCATCACCATGCCCCTAGCCGTCTTGAACAACGATTCTCTTCGACCTTGTTCACATAGCAGCTCTCTACGCGTTGCCGGCCAGACCAATTGGACCGCAGCACTTAAGCCAAATCAAACCGCCCCTGATCTAGGTCTAAGCTTTGAAGATCCCGATGTATTTCGTAACGACTGCGAAGAGGCTTGGAAGACGTTGGATAATATAGCTGCCCTTGGTTTAACCTTAGAGAATAACGAAGAAGAAACGACACATTCGACTGGATTTCCTAAACTTATTTTCGAGAATGACGGGGCCGGTGTTGGGTACTCAGAAACTCCTTCACCGCCAGTAGGCCCATTTCATAAGTGGATGAAGAACTTACACAAGCGAGCGCATCGTCCTGTTATACGCCGCAGTCATAGTCGATCCGAGTCTTTCCCCGAATTTTCAGAACACACGCTCGAATATGAGACCTTATCTACGGACGGTCACAGGAAATCATTTTCCGGTTCTTCCTTTGGATTTGTTACCGCTGTCAGAAGCGCCAGCGTCAGTCTTGCAAGCACTAGCGTGATCACTCGGCCAAGGAGATATACCGCACGATCGTCAGCCCATAGCAGGGCGGACCTTAGTAGCAGAGGATCGACATCGGGACCGCGGTTTTCCGAAGACAGTACGTGCCTTGAGCGAACAGTATCAAACGACCCAGGAGTGACGGAACGGCTACTTCAAAGGCGTCGTATCCTAGAGGAGATAATCAACACGGAAGAAAGCTATATTGGAGATGTCAAGTTTCTCATGAACGTATGTGCCAGCACTGTTAGCATCTCTTAAGCTCCCAGCACTAATCAACTGATCAGGTTTATGTCACCATATTGGCTTCTTTACCGTCACCGCATATGGGACTTCGCTCCTCGATCAACCGCAATCTGACAGATATTGTTGAGTTACACGAGGAGATTCTCGGCGAACTTCATCGGGTAGTACCTAACTCCGAGTACACGCAGCCTGAGCGTATTTCGGTCACCCCCAAACCACCATCTTCTAAACACCATAACCGCTGGCGGAGTCTTGACTCTACTTCGGAGGACGATGGGGGTTCTTCCAGTTGGTTCCAAGGCATACCTAGTGTAGTAGCCGAGCCAGCTATTGCGGCCGAAGTAGCTCATGTGTTTGGCAAGAGGGTACGTGCACGATTTTTGAGTCGCAATCCTATATCATCTTCTCGGTCTCACTGTAACCAAGTTTTGCGGCTTTACTAATACCATAGCAGATGAATCGATTCTTCATCTACGAAGAATATGGTGCAAAATATGAGATGATGATCAAGGACGTCGCGTCCGCTCATCGAACGCTACCTGAATGGGAGACCTACCAAAAGGGGCTGGAAGCATTAGCAGCTTCGCTGGGCGCTACTAATTATCATCTTGACAACTCTAGAAAATCTTTGACTATTGGCGATCTCTTGGTTAAGGTGAGCTATAGCGTTGTGTTATGTCAAGATTTTCGCTAATAGCAAAAAGCCAATCCAAAGGATATGTAGATATCCTCTCCTGTTTGCCGAACTCCTCAAGTATACGCCCGTATGCGACTGTCCAAACTCACATATGGAGATCGAAAATGTTCTCATTCGGCTGCGCGAGGCTACTGCTGAACTTAACCGTGCCGCCGACGATCCACGAATGAAAACCACAATGGAGCAGACCTGGTTACTTCAGGATCGACTCGTATTCCCAAACCAGGTATGTGGCGTCAGCCCCTATATTTGGGTTTATTTCTAAGTGCGTAGCAGAAACTAGATGCGGCTTCGAAGACCGCCATCCGTTCATTCGGCCACATCCGCTTATGTGGTGCCCTGCATGTGTGCTGGCAGACTAAAGATGGTGCGGATGGTGCATACATGGTTACGCTCCTATACAAGGACTGCTTGTGCCTTGCGACAGCCAGTCGAGCAGACCAAATATATACCATTCAAGCTTGTATTAGTCTCAATGATATCAAGGTTGAAGAAGTGGACAATGGCCGAGGTAGGCATTTCCTAACTTTTATTTTAGTTCCATCTTCGGTATGCTAACCAAGTGAAGGCCTCCAATGTCACACTGCCCCCTTCTCATGGAAGCTCGTCTTCGAATGTGACCATCAACTCTACGAAATTATTATGACAGCTTGTTCTCCAAAGGAAGAACATGAGTGGCGTAGTCGTCTTACACGACAAAACTCAATTGAATCGTATGAAATATCAGAACCTATATTCTATAGCTCAATCTTCCTCGACGTAAAAAGTCTAGGAACAATATTTGGAAAACCAGGCAAGCACAGAACTCACATTTGAAGACTAGAAATGTTTTCTTTTCTAACACCAATCACAGGCACCGTTGCTCGTCGTCTTTCCATTCATAGGGCCACTACTGTTGGGCCGAAATCGCCATTGTGCCAAGTTATACTTAAAAATACCAGTACGATGAAGGATAATTCATCGTCGATCCCCCCGCAAATCAATCGTTCGCAATCGCTGCTAACGACCAATTCTCGTATTCCCGTCCTCACCCCATCCCGGGGAGAGCGAGCTCGCCTGGAAGCTTTATTGGCCGATGTCTGGAGTCGCAAGGTGTTACCTTTTCCCGGCATAACATACCGATCGAAAAGCGAGCACCTTGTTCGCAGCTCAGCCTCGACCGTTATGCGAAAGCTGAGCGTTGCAAGCATCACAAACTCTTTTACGAAGCGCTCCACGAGCGCTACTAGTGTACCAAAGTCGAGCGAAGAGGAGCTCCCACATTACAACGGCTCTGTTGATAATCTTGCCCGTCTGAACGGCGACAAACCAAAGTCTAGACTACTTAGAGTCAGTACAACCGATGGGGATATCAAGCCAAGGCTTCCAATGATTCGGGATGAGATCGAGCATTTTAGTAATCCCAACCCTGATATTTCGTCGACAATCGATGCCTGCATACAGCCAGGAACATTGAAGCTTGAGCCTTTGAAACTCGACCTGGATTGGCTAGAAGATGGAATGAGCGCCCATACTTTACGATCATCGCCATCATCCAGGCATACTCGACGGGATAGCAGGCAGACGACGCTTTCAGCAGGGTCTTCTCCGTCGTCCATTGGGGATGAAGAAACTATTTACCACGGACTTGGAGCGAAACATCGACTACACGAAACATTAACTAATATTAGGCCTACGAATAATAAGTGGGCGAGAGTCGGCGCCATCAACAGAGGTCTGGTAGCGTCTGGCATTCGAAGCTTCTTTAGATGAGGGAAGGCAACTTCATTAATTGGTAATAGGGTTGGGTATAGATACGTGGTTTGGACGGCTTTTGGCTTGGGATTATACCATTCTTTCTTTCTTTTTTTTCTCTCTCTCTCTCTCTCTTTATGATGGCATCGGAACGGTACCGGATTCCGTGAAACGCATTGCTTTTTTATCAGTTGCCTCGTCAGGCTTTCGGACCTAGACAAACTATGATTATACCCAGGAGCAATTTAGTTAGGTAGAACAATGGAAGTTCTTGTGTTACTTGCGAGCGACGGCACTTTGCTAGCGAGCCAACCCAGCGGCTATACCGGTATTCCGAAATTTAGTAATAATATCCTGTTTATCTCATGGAATGCAGCCTTACCTGTTTCACCAGCCCACGTTACTACGTAGGTCAGTATACTATTCCGGTGATGCCCAGCAGCTCCCGTCCAATGCGGCGATACCTAAGCTAACGTCAATCTCCTTTTGTGGGGGAATGTACCTTGGTACCTCTGACGGCTATGTATGTATGTGTCCTTTTTATGTATATGGCCTTTCTACTATATTCCAGAGTCTTCGTATTAGCCTCATGCTGCATAGGCTGATAGGTACCTTAGGTAGGTATTGTACATGTACAGTAAATTAATATGTAAGATACAAGAAAAAGGTTGTTTATACATTATGTACTTGATAAGGGATGGGCCAAGATAAAGAGCTTCTAAATTGACTTACTGATCCCTGTCATAAGATCCGCCTGTGACGTAGGTCATTTTCGCGGGAAGCCGACGCAGGAACAAACAGTGTACAATCAGAGGGGCAGCTACCCGGTTGTACGTAAATACGTAAATCAATATGTAAATGATGACGTAGTTGCTGCTGTTTAGCAAGAGCATGCCACACGACGATCGAATGTGTAAACAGGTAGACAGGGAAACAGCAGCTTCCCTGTAGCGTATTTGAAGCTTCGATAGCCTAGAGCTACTTCTTAATCTTTTCCTTTGTTACTCCATTCATTCAAACATCTCTTAACAACATTAAGAAACCATCGACTTGATACCCACGACTTACATATCTATCTCCTCCAACTTCACGTCTAACATCACCACCACTCACCTCAAGTAAATCCCAACACAAATCGCCCAATATGACTAAGGGAGAAGCCACTCAAATCAAGATCCACTACAAGGGCCAGGAAGACGACTTCATCATCTTCGTCGACGACAGAGAGGCCTACAAAAAGTGGCAGAACGACAAGTCCGTTCCCATGGCTCACTTCATCTCCACCTTCAAGGTCTTCGTGACACACAAGTAAGTCTTTACACAATATCACTCTCCCTCTACCAAGGATACCACGATATATATATATGGCCCGTAATCGGCAGCGGCATGAAATGTGCGGGCTGTGGTGAGGCAATGCAGTTAGCCGGCCTTTTTCTCCCGTCCGTAACCGCCCCCAGCGCTTACGGGCTGACCCGGTGTTACCCACGCTTCATCTCTCTGCAACAGTCGGCCCCCAAGTATACGACCCGAGCCGCGGCCCGGCGAAAGACACAGACCAACGATCTTGTCCCAGATCCCGCCTTAAACGCCAGGAGCCAATACAGATCCCTTCTATTTCATGTTCACCCCGACGTATGTCCAGCTTTTGCCGACAGCGGCTAATATGATACGTTCAACAGGCAAGGAGCTCAGGGTCAGATGGACGGAGCATCCCAGAGCCTACTCGAGAACGAGTTTGGTACCTCTAACGAGGAGGAGGTCATCAAGAAGATACTAGAGTCTGGCATAATTCAGGAGTCTGACGTAGGCCGCCCCTTTATGACCCCAATAGTAGAGAGTGGTACGATGACTAACGATAAATCACATCAGTTCGCCGATCGCCAAGGACACAAGAATGACACCAAGACAATCGTCATTGTCCCCGGTCAGGTTACCAGATAAGAGCCTCGATTCAACTCACCGGCAGCGCCCGGTACAACCTGGTGCGCTGTTCTATTGCACGGCGTCAAGCTATCGATTGAGAGAGCAACGCTCAGGTGAGTTGGGTGTATCATTGGCTAAGTGTTACAATGATTTACCAACCAACGCGGATTTCGAATGTAATACTCGTGGGACAGCTATCATCTACTAGCTAACGAGGAATATTATTGCGATGGATCTGCAAGATAGTCGTAGGTAGCGACATATGAATATCAATGAAAGAAGTTAAAATCGCATAGTTAATGTTGTATCAAATGAGTCTTTACGTGAACAATGTGAAGATGAATCTATTATTTTCCTATGATGTCAATTAACTAACCCAACCTTGGTATTCTTGGCCGAGCCTCATCTCATTCGCATGGCGTTTCGTAACCTAGTCAAATTGCCAAATTGCCAGCACCTGAAACGACGAAGCCCAGATCGGCGCGACGCTACCCCCCGTGAAAAAATATACGGCGAACCTTCACTACTCCTATTTTTCATCTCAACCATGGAACGACATCTTGTGTCTCTTGTTTCTAGTTTCTGTTTCCGTTGAGGCGGGTTCATCGAATACGAGATTGAATTGGATTTGTGCAAGGTTTCACAGCTCTTGGGTATTATCGCCGACTTACTGTATCGCACTGCATTAAGAAACTGCTGTGTAGGTAGGTAAGATAAGGTAAGGTTACGGCGTATTCGCGCGCCACATGCAAACATCGCGAGATGTTTGAGATGTAGTGTATAGTAGTGTACATACATAGATACCTAGGTATGTAGGTAGGTAGGTACCTAGGTAACCTTTGCCTCACCGCCTCTGCCCAGCGCTTCTGAATATAGGCGGATCCGTATGCGTAGTAATCATATCCATCCTCGATATCGGGTCGGCCTAGGGAAAACCAGGGCTAAAATATATATTTCGGAATAGTGTCGTACTTATCCTTCCTCGTATACGCCCCTTAGTGAAATCCTAGGTATTAAAAAAAATCATAACTTCAAAAGTCTAAAAAGCAGGTTGACAAACGCCGGTGTATGTCTGCAAAATGCCGTAGTTCCACAAGACAGGGAAAAGGGACGACGTAGGTTAATTTCAATATATGCTTTCTTCCTTATTTATTTAATAGATAGTGATTATATATGCATATACATCGGGGTATTTCATTCCTCAGAAGGAGAAATAATAAGAGCCTACTTGCTCATATATACGGGGGGATCTCGCTTCCTCCCTTCCTCACAGCATTAGGGGTATTTCGAGTATTAGCGCCCACGTCAAAACTAGGGGAGCATATGGTAAAGGATAAGGGGGAAAAGAGAGGTCAGATAGGTTTGCCGTGTACACGCGACCCCGGGTGCATTTTGCTTGGCCGAGGGCTAGATAGTCGCTGTTCTACCTCTACTACGCCTTGGATCCCCCGGAGCGGCCTCGCTGTGGTAGAGTCCATGGTTTGGCACATACAATCTAGTTGACCGGTTAGCCTTCGATGTCTTGAAATTCAAGACAGGTGGATTGAGAAACAAACATACCTCGCCTTCACTGTATGCCCAAAAGTAGGCCATCATTGCCACTAGATAATAAATAGCAGCGTTGGTGCCCTGGTAGATAAGAATCGCGGCGAGTGCAGCAAGCGGATATGTAGCGAGACGAGCCTCCATGCTCCTATGGAGCGCGGTCCCGGCGATCAGATTTAACGGCCATTCCCAAGCGAATATCACTATCCCCAAAATTAGGTTTATGATTTGCAGCGCTGGAACCGGCTTAACGGCCGGGTCTAATGCTTTCGTCATGAAGTCGAAGAATATCTTAGGCCAGAAGAATGCTGAGAGCGCGGCAGCAACTTGATCTAAGAAATTGTTAGTAGGGTTGCGAATTTCCTGTAGCATTAAAACACGTACAACCTGCGGCTGTGAGCACGATGAGTCTGGCCCAGTGGTTCTTGATGAGTTTTCCCATTTTGACAATTCCTTCTCAGAATTCCTCAATAATAAAAATCGGTCCTTTTCTTTGCTCTTCGAGATTCCAAAGCTCTTTCTCGTCCTAGTTCTTTCTTTTCCCTTCTTCCTGAAACCCCAAACGATCCAAGCGCTCAGCCCTCCTAAAGAATCCAAACAAAACACACACCAGGTGCAAACGAATGTCGACTAGCGAGCGAGAGAAGGTAATACCGTCCCGAAAATCAACAGTCGTGAAGTGAATGGAAATGCAAGGTAGCCGGACCTGCTTGGCGTAGAATAGAAGAGTCGATATTAAAGAAGGTTATCGACGGCGAGTGCACAGCGCTGGCAGCCAAAAGGGAGAAGAAGAAAAGAAGGTGAATATAGATTGAGACTAATTGGGAATATGCAAGCCCGGACGGGGCTATGAAAAGCTATATTGCAAGGCCGATAGCCTTGGCTCTCTTATCCCCTGCCGGGAGCTGTGCTCCCGTTGAGGGAGGCTCGTGTCAGGACCGACTGATCTGAGCCGGGGTAGTGTAGTGTATCTGGCGTTTCTAGGCCGACAGTGCTAATCTTCGTTCGAGACCCACGTTCTTGAGATCTTGTCTATAACGCCAGCAGGCATCCGAGCGGCATCGAAAATCTTTAACGACTCCTTTCTGGCCCCTGCCTATGAATTGGTATATGTATGATCTACAACCTTATCCAGCAGTGGATTGTCAACTGGATTGAGGCGATATAAGAGAGCAAGGTAGTGTTTGAAGTCGTATCTTTAATCCGTAGTTGCTCCACAATGTCATAATGTCATAACTCGTCCAAGTCGTTCTAGTGCCGGGGGCTTGTGAAGCTCAAGCTCGTCGCATGGGAAAGGGTTGAGGATCAAACAGGGAGATGATACTTAGGAGGTGTCCCGAGTTTCTTCATGTATGAAAGGGGAACTCCTAAAAGTCTTCAGACACACGAGGTGGCATGCAGAGAGTTTATGAAAGAGACAAGGACGGGTGGGTCTTTCAAGAAGCGCATAGAGTATCACCAGCCCATCCCGAGACCGCCGTCTTTAGAACCAATACTTAGATGGCCAAGATCTAGAGAGGACGTGTAAAAGCATCTATGTACGTACATATTGCGCCCTGCTTCATGATGTGCAGAATGGGAGAATAACCCAAAATAGTTTAGGGTCTGATGATTATCGACCGTAGCAGCTCTCATCACAACCTGGGCTGGACAAACTAGGGTGGATACAATATGTGAAGCAGCACTCGATTGGGTAGAAAGAGTACCAAGCTGCTTGGCCCGGATATGCGGGTACATGAATAGGCGGTAATGCTGCATACTTGTGGCTATGGGTATTGGGTATATTTGATATTGCGGCCGGGAGGACGGTCGTTGAGAATAGCCATTATCGAGGGAGACCAATGTGATTGGGCTTTTCGTCGGCGGCTACAATTCTTTGCGTAGCCAATGAGAAGCTTTTCTTGGGTGCTTCCGCTGCATAACAACCCCAATCTCCCCCCGTCTCTGGAATCCCTGTAGACAGGGATTTGATGAGTTAAAGAATTTATGTGGTATATTCCCACGTCTCCATATTCTCTGAGCCCTCATCACCCCGGCAATTCGAAGCTTCACAATAGCTTATAGTTCATCGATGCAGATATGATCTGTTCATTGCCTGCCGAAGATAGTAATTCGGAGTATTTAATGATACCACATTGCCCGTCGTTGATCGTTGGAAGGCGTGATGTCAGTTCCATAGTGCCGGACTGAGTGGCTGGAGTCTGGAGTCTGATGTACTTCGTGTATTGCTTTGCACTTTGGTAAAGCCATGTTAAAAAACGGTTAATTACCTATTCAGGTATTACTCGGAGGATGATCCCTTAGCAATCCGGCAGGGAGCAGCTCTGAAGAGCACTCTCAATCTCACTTCGTGAATGGCTCCTTATCCGAGCCTCTACTTGCCCCTCGTGACGCCTCAACTGGCTTAGGCTGGTCGCTAATCGACTACATATCGAACGTTAAATCCTTAAAGGCCAGGGCAATTGAGGCAGAGTGATTCCGGCCAACTGGGTAAGTATTTCAAATTTGAGACGTGCCCCTTCGGATAACGGAATGCCCAGAACTTCCAAACAACGGGGAGTTTCGCAGGGGAAAACACTGAAGCAGATCGGGTTTGGAAGCGACTAGTTCAGATCAACCAGCCGTTCGTAGCAAGGGTTATCTCCGTCACCCGGGAGACTATACCAAATCGAGGGGGATATCAGGGGTTGTTCGGACAGGGATATAGACCAGGGTTTAAGAATTCGCAGATTCGATGGAGGTCCGACCGCATTCACCTTGGAAATAAAAACACCAGCCAAACGAGCCGAGTTGCGATTCCTTCTTTTAGTTTTCGAATTTGAGCTTTTGGATTTCAGCCTGTCTCAATCCACGTTTGAGCCTACCCGAGAAGAATTCAAGTTTTCTATGGCTGTGTAAGTATAAGTTGAATCCTAACCCGTATCGACTTGCCAGTTCTAAGCGAGACGCCGGCCATGAAAGGTCTAGACAAACACATAGTTGTGCCGAGGCCTCCCCATTGTCTACTCCTTACACTAACAGGGCTATCAAAAGTAAAGTAAGAAAAAGCGGAATAGTAATACACTACTAGGTTCTGAGTTATCGCCGCACGTTAGCGTCTTAGTGGTATGATAGCTGATGAGTCTCGATTTGCATCGTCAGGTGATTGAACATAGCGGGAACCAGGGCGATTTAGACACAGATACACTAAGGAATGAGGGGGCCATTCGATCTGCGTTGCGTGTTGGATCCGGTATGCAAGTGTTGTATGCGGTGTGCCGCGAGCGAAATGGGGACGAATGGAGAACATCCTTTTGGGGCAATCTGTGAGATTATTTTTCAATTGGCCAACTTTATTCTTGACGGCGGTTCCTGCCGAATTCTAATTGGACTCGCTTACTCGGAAAAGCCACATGCGCGTGGAGAAACGAGTGGCTTACCTGGGCACCTATAATTTCTAACCAATAAGACTTTCCCTGCTGTTACCGCCCCGGCGTCAACCATCCACATTCAAGTTGACAAATTTGAAGTATCGACTATTGCTGGCTCCGTCACAAGCCGATTCAAAGTTGATTTATGAGTTCTTATGTATCCCAACTATACAGATCCATTAAAACGGATCAGGAACGCTGAAGATATTAGGTAGCATTGACCCAACGTGTAAGCGAGTCCATGTTACCCTCCTAATGCCCAAACCCCCACGAGCACGCCCATGTGCATGTTACTCTACCTGCAGCATATATGTATTATCGGTCAAGAGTGAATGACAAATTTACGTCTTAAAGAATGTTTAGTTTCCGAATGCCGGTAGCTATCCTAGTCACTATCACAGTCAATTTAATTCCATGGATAGCCAATATCTAGTCTCTAAGCCAACCTTTCTAATCTTTCCTGAACTAGTATTTGCTTATTCTTGTATCTACCTATGCATGGTCGATTCTGATCTTTATCTGACCCGCGTTGACCAGTGTCGATCGCTATAACCAGCTGTACATATATTACGACCCAGTAATGCTTTGCCCGCCAATCCTTTCGCCCCGGCGCTTAGGATACTTCTCACCATGTGTACACGTAAGAACTCACTAACTACCTGATATTTTCATTACTACAGTGCCAAGATGTAAGAGTCTAATTCCTACGGGTTGATCAGGTCGCCGATACGGTCACCTTTTCAGCCCTGGGCTGCTGTCAACCCTCTCATTACGCTTCACTTTAAAGCTTGGTTAGCCAGACTGCTTCGATGTGGCGCTGCTGGTTTCTTGAAGCGCGCTGCATCCATCCAGCTCATTGTTTATAAATAATCACAGTTAGGGGCTGGATCTTATAGCCAATCCGAACGTATAATGACAGTATCGGTAGAGGAAGCCACCGACTTACAAGGACCCCTCATTCAACCAGATATTCATTTGCCCAGAAGGAGGCAATGTTTTTCGAGTCATTTCCTAAGAATTCGGCCATTTTCATCCGCCCCGTCTGTGTCGACGCCGCTTCCACCAAATCTCTGAAGCCGGACGTGAGATCAGTTAGGACATTAACCGCATGCTCAGATAGGGGTTGTCCATCAGAGCAATACGGAAGGAGAGTTTGAACTGGGTTCGCCGTTCTGCGGGATCCACTGCTGATACTGATTTGACAATGAAATGCCATCAAGTTGATCGAGACGTCTTGAACTGAGTTAACGGGGATGATAGGTATTTCAAATTCATCGACAAGACTATATCTTGTCAGCCCAGCTATGCTAGGGCAACACATGGACCAGGGATATTAAGAAGAAGAATTACGTCTTACTCTAGCTGAAGTGTCATAAGCGCCGCCACGGGGTTTTCTTGATCCTGGCCTTGTTGAAGCAAGAATACGATCGCGATGTCTTGCCCTCCATTTAGGTGAAATAGTCGTTGAATCCGGGTTCGACTTTCAACCTTACCAACGTCAGGCAGTGACAGCAGAAGAGCCCGCAGAATCCTTTGTGGTGTAGCACCAGGATTCGGTAAGGGGAGAGCCACATCGTGGGTATCCAGTTTAGCCTCTAGTATCTGGGTTAGCGCTGTCCTGCGACGGATTATAATCACTTAGGCATTCCTATGGCCGTACCTTTCCATCTGGTATTATTACCTCCTTGTAGAAGCGCTTCGGCTAAGGAGGCCCAAACAGGGCGCTTACGCAAGGAGGAGCAGACTAAGGGATTCGACATTTCCACGTTTGATAATGACCTATTGAACCTATTGAAAGTAATGGAATCGAAACCTCGTAGTACTCACCGTTGATTGTGAACTTGTGGCCGTATAAAGCAAAACAAGATTTAACTTGAGAGGTAAGCTGTTGAAAGGTTGAATTGGTAGACCCTCCAAGCCTCAAGTTCTGAGCCCCAAGTTTATATGTAGGTGGCTGCTCCCTCCATAAGCTACCTATTGACTTGTTACATGATACAAATAAAGTCAATTATATGGAATACCGGCTTAGCTTTCTAGACACGGATTGGTGTCGTTCTTTCCATTCTTCATCATCAACCACGTGACGAGGCCCCTATAATGAACTTAGACCTTTGGATGTTTGTAATACCTTTATGCATAACCTACCTTTATATTTTTATCTTAATTATTGCACCTAATCATGTAGTCAGCGCATATATCAACACAAGCCAACATATATGTATAGGTAGGTGGAAATAACTACAACTAGCATTTAAGTAGTTGTACGAGTGTTAAAGTTAACACCTGTAGATAATCTTAATGGCACCATAATGGGCATATTGACGACGAAATAGCTGAGTAAAGAGCCGAGGGGTTGTCTTATATTCAGTAGTAGTGAATATACTGGGACACGATATACAGGAGAGCGTCGTCCAATATCCAAGGGGGATTGATACTTGTGCTCTACTAAGCTTCCATGGACGCACAATTCTATCTATGTCCATAACCATCTAGTAACGCCGGCCTTTTATATAATCTTTATACATTCGTTAGATCGTATGGTATGCTAAGGACATACCAAATTACCCAAGCAGTATGGACCTGTGCTCTGCAGTTATCCTCTACTTATTAAGCAGCAGGAGATGCCGTAGGCGCTGGAGGCAAGAGTGGCTTCTGGGTTTTTGGGTCTTTGAATCCCCTTAAAGCCTCCTCGAGTATCGATACTCGGCTCTGATGACGCCTCTCAGCCTCTTCAAGCTCCTGTTCTCTCCTCTCAAGCTCGTCAAAGCGGTCATTGAGCTCCTTGAGCTTCTCCTGGTTGGGGTCCGGCTTTTGAGAGGACCTGTGGTATTCATATAATATCAAAATCGTGGCCACTAAAAGGATGAAGGCGTCGCCAACCACGTCCGCAAACAGGTCGACCGCCTTGGCTTCTGGGAGAGGCCTAAATTTCCTTTTCCAGACGCTTACTATAGGCGAGAACTTATGGGCACGGGTCTCTTGGTTTGTCGTGCCGTACTTAGCACGCATTTCTTCCTCCTTCTCTATTTGCTCCTTCGTTTTTACTGTCGGCGCTTCGGCCTTCTCTTTTGCTTTTATTTCTGCCTCGACGTCCCTTAGGGCTGCTACGGACAGACGCATGTTCAACTGGTGAATGAATTGGCCATACTTGGCAGCGAGACGGCGGAAGCGCGGGTGGTCATGGGCTTGCACCTTGATTTGATTCTGATCATTGTCGTCAGCACTTGGTTCATGACGCTACACTTCCGAACTAGGTCATGACCGTACAGCGCCATATTTGGAAATATGCCTTAGGAACAAGGATGCTAATTTAAACAATGGTAGCGCAACCATCTCGCCTCGATTCCTTTAGGAAGTAGGTTTTGGTTCGATAGTATGGGACCGTGAGATTCGAGTATTGAAGCTTGAGAAGTCGGATATCGGATATCTTCGTTTATAAAAGGATTCGGATGTTAGGGGATAGCAAACATATCGGTTGGGCAATTTATGGTTTCGTAGGTACCTAATCTAAGGCAGTGAATCTAAGGTATTGTTGGAGGTACTAATCGTTGGAAGCACCGTCTTAGGTACAATACTTCCCCACCTACGAGGGCAACGAAGCTTGCAATCACCGAAGCTTGTCTTATCGATAGTTCCTATGGATCGCACTGAGGTGGGGGGCATGCCTGATTGGATAAACACCGAAGTTTTCAGCGGTTGCCTCCCCAACGGCGCCAGCGTTTACTTGTAAATGAATGGGCCACTTTTTTATGTGCACGTTGCTTCTTTTGTCCAACACTGGATCGTCAATGATATTGTAATCAGATGCATACTATCTAGCTTTCTCTCTTGCTTCTCTCACAACATCTTTGCTGCGAGCGATTGGTTCGACGAACTTCGATTTCGGCGACAATCGCTAATTTTCTAGAAGAGTTTGTGTTAATTTAAATACTCTTCAAGACGTGTAAGTGACACCGCCTATTTATTTTATCAATTGCAATAACCACATCAATCGCGCGCACTTTCCAAAAGGTCCATCATCACTGCTATAACAACTCAGAAGTTTAGGTTTGACCTAACTTGTTATTCACGCTTTTCCCTATGGTACCCTGAAAATTCCGAGTCTTCTTTAGTATTTGTTACGAAACTACCACTAGACGAAAACAAAAAAAACCTTTCTTCGAGTAGCAAACGTGCTAACGGTCGCGTCTAGGAATTTCAACATCATAATATAAGACCCTTTTTTTCTAAATTTGATATTGTGTACTTCATCAGCACAGTATCCCGATGGCGGACCGAATTCTGGCAGCGAAGCTGGCAGCTGATGCGGACGCCTTGTCCCCGAGAGATGCTAATGCTCAGCTCCCAAACCGGGTGGTAGCCGTTGCGAAAGCTAAAGCGATGCCTGCCTCCAAAGCTGTCCAGAAGGAAAAGGAGCCCCCACCACAGCCTCCTCCCGTCGTCTACGAGCCGCCGAGCTTTGATCGCAAAGATGGAGCCGCGTATCAGGTCGGGAAAATGCTCGGGAAGGGCGGCTTCGCCGTCTGTTACGAAGGATATCTCGCAGGGAGTAAAAGTAGGAGGAAGTATGCACTAAAAATCGTCAGGAGTAAAATGCCGTCTAAAATGGAGCAAAAGGTCGGTGATCACTAGAGGACAGCTGCTGGCTATCCTCAAGACTAACCACTCGAGCAGTTTCAAACCGAATTGCAAATTCATTCTAAAATGAAGCACCAAAACATTGTCCAGTTTCTCAGGGCCTTTTCCTTTGAAAACTGTACTTATCTCGTTCTGGAGCTATGCCCTAATGGCTCGTTGATGGATATGGTTAAGCGAAGAAAGGGATTAACAGAACCCGAGGTGCGATTTTATTCCATACAGATCGCTGGTGCCATCAAATACATGCATGCCAAAGGCATAATTCACCGAGACTTGAAGATGGGCAACATCTTTCTTGACAAGGATATGAATGCCAAGATTGGCGACTTTGGCCTGGCGGCACTGCTGGTTACAGGCAAAGACATGCAAACAATTCGTCGTACAACGTTGTGTGGGACACCGAATTATATTGCACCCGAGATTTTAGAGAAGGGAAAGAAAGGACACGACCATATGGTCGATATATGGAGCTTGGGTATCATCATGTGAGTCAAACATATCATCTTGTTCGTGTTTCATAACTAATAAACGGTAATAGGTTTGCCATGCTCACCTCCAAGCCGCCCTTCCAATCTTCAACAACGGATGAGATCTATCGTCGTGCCAAAAATCGGGACTATGAATGGCCTAAACCAGAAGGTACCAACAAGTATATCTCCGAGGAAGCGAAGGATGTTGTCGCTACTATGTTGGAAGAAGCAGAGTTACGACCCGACCCTGACACCATTGTCCAGCACGACTTCTTCCTCTCAGGTTATATCCCGACATCGGCAGAAATAACAACGAAACTACGTGATTACCCACCCGATGGAAATCAATTTTACGATAAGGAACTAACACCGCGGATGGCCGCTCAGAATATGCGTAACCTAAAGGATATGTGTAGGAGCTGCGAGGTTGGACCTTGGAACAGCGTTCAATCAGTATACAAGAGCACTTGGCGAGAAGTTGCACTGGAGGAAAAAGCTGGACTCACTCCGGTTATCCCACTTGTCGAAGGGATTGTTTATAGACCTTACGATGATGTTAGCAGGGAGCAAAATCTCAACCAAGTACCCTCCCGTGCGGCCCCGCAGCTTATTTCGAAGAAAGAAGATGAAAGTACGGGGACGCAAGGAGGAACCAACGGTTTATTACGAGCGCCGCCTCAGAGTTTTGCAGCACAGCAGCGGGCACAAAGTCGCCCAACAAAGCCATCGAGTATAGTGCCATCGGGTATAGTACGATCTCGTACATTGGACGATATGCACGCACCTAGTGCTACTAGCACTATGCGATCATCACGCCCAAGGCGAGAGCTCGCTCAGAGCACATCAGAGAACCTTCTTGCAGCAAAAGTAGCCGCCTTAACTCTATCATCAACCACACAGCAACCCAGAGCAGCGGAGGCGCGTTTGCCTGCACCGGCACCAGAGGAGAAAGCACTCCCTCAGAAGCAGGCTGAGCGAGAGACAACGTCTAGAATAACGAAAGCACCTACGGAAATCCCTACGGGGACCTTATTCGGACCCGCAGAACGCAAGATGGCGGTACCGGATACACAGCCCGATTTTGTGCTGGACAGACTCCGGCGTTTGCAGAGTGAACTCGAGCGTGCCCTTAACTCTAGATCGATGGCCATTATGGGCAAAGAGCCAACACCGACACCACCGCATATCGTCGTTAAGTGGGTAGACTACTCCAACAAGTTTGGTCTGGGTTATATCCTGAACGATGGAAGTGTTGGTTGCGTGCTCAAGAGCATACCTGGTAGTGCTAAAGGAGGCAAGACGGTTACACTACCGCCAAGCTGCATTTTAGTTCGGGAGGCCGAACAGCACTGCTCGCGACGGCATGACCCTGGATATCCCGATCGGAGTCAGATTGTTCCCATGAGCCAGGCGGTACAATTCTACGAGAACAACGGCGAGTCTGGATTATCCACGGTCTTTGTCCATCCTTCGCAGTTCAAAATCAGCATAGGCCCGGATGGAACCCCTGGGAAGATACCAGTGGGTCGCGATATCTTCGACTACCGCAAGCGGGAGCATCTTATCTTGTGGAAGAAATTTGCCAACTACATGATGGCGTACGGGCGGGATCAAGATGCCACGACGGACGACACCGGTCTAGTACAGGTTCCCACATCTACTAAGCAGACGATGCCCCCGAGTGACGTTGTTACCTTCTACCAGCGAATTGGAGATGTGGGCTGCTGGGTCTTTGCCGATGGTCATCTCCAATTCAACTTCCCCGACCATACCAAGATCGTCCTCGACGCGACCGGAACATGGTGTCACTTTTGGCACCTCCCACAGGAAGCAGCTGAGAAGCTCGCAACTACAGGCGAATTGGACGAGACTGCTCTTGATGAGAGAGCTGTTCTGTCTTATCCGCTGCAGACCCTCCTAAACTTCGCTGCTAAGCCGGCTATCCGACCAACGCGTAACGCTACACGCAAGCGACCAGAGATTAACCCCATGCTGCAGGGTATTCCCACGGCCAACGACTTCCGCCGGAAGATCGAGTTCATCAAGAATATTATCAAGGAGTGGGTTGTGAACGGTGGTATGGGTAATAGTAATATGGATCGCGAGCACCGACAGCAGTGGACGGGCTGCCGCGAGACTATGCACAGCGGACCCAGCAAGCATGTCTGGGTCACGATCGGAGCTCGCTGGGGCGACGAGAGGTACTCGGCTCTTGTTGATCCCAAGAAACCCGGGGAACTAGGCAGCGAAGTCGAATCTACCAAGGGGGGCGCGTAAAGCGCTGAGAGAGAGTGTGTGAGGGCGATCGGTTATGCTGCTTTTCTGAGGTCACGACTGATGACAGGGCGTTCGTGTTTATTAATAGTCCATTCCAAGAGCTTAAGGTCCCATTGCATGGCGTTATATGGGGTCATATACATATTTATTTTATTCTATTCGATTTGATCGTAACGGAGACGTCGTGTGTCTAATGATAAGGTTTCATATTATTTGATGCTCAAAAGAAGCCAACGAAAATGCCTACCCATCTGATTTGAAAACATTCTTGAGTAGAACTATAAATAAGGTACCTATCCATACCGTAAAGTTATATTCAGCGTCCCAAACTGGGGGGTGAGGGCTATGTGGTAAGAATAAAGCTATTGGTAGTTAATGACTGGCTACTTGTTTTCATATTTAGGAATGTCCTACTCTGAGCTTCTTATATCATATATAGGTCAAGACGAACTGGCCGTACCGGAGTCGACGAAATATGGAAGATAGTATAGTATATTTCACAGCTCCGAGATGTAAATAGACCCGAAGTAGTCTGTATAAGTAATACCTTTTTCTGATCTAGTTATAAGGAAATAATATCATAACGCTTTTTGAATTCAAGTAACTATGCGCATGTCGTCTCTTAAAATATATAGAATACACCTTTCCCAAATATCAGTTACCTACCTATTTATATTCGATGGAGTAATTATATAATAGTTATAATATATTCTAACTTCTTCACCCCGTAGGGTATGTATTATGCTCGTCGATATCTTAACAACCATGGTTACCACAAATATATAGTTGGTATAGCACAGCTACCTGTTAGGTAGTAGGTTCGAAGACTCGACTCCTTAAACTTTGGTCCTACTCTCTGCTGAGCTCGTATATCAGCCCACCTATACGTATGCATGCATACATCTTATCGGCGACTTTGGGATAGAGTTGAAAATCTTGTGTAGGCGTGAGTTTACGCAAAGTTTAACTATCTTGTAATATCTTACGACTTGGTGTGGTATTATGTATTAATAGGTAGGTAGGATATAATAATGATGAAATATACAAGACTGGCTGTTTACGTCAAGTGAAGATGGCCTTTGTGGATATAAATGAGACCGACTACCATCATGAAAAATTGCAGTTTAAATGGTGATTGATCATGGTTTTGTCAACCCACACTGCATATGCAGCGTGGCGAGTGTCATTAATCGGGCTTCTCCTTATATACAACAGTACCGTGGCAGAGGATGTGTGTATGTGCGAATCGCAGCAGTGTCTGCGATGCCAACCAGCTCAATATGGAGGGCAGGTATGTGTAAGTTTCCAGCCGCCACAGCCGTACCAACTACCGTCTTCGAATCTGTATGTCAAACCCGCCCCGTTCCGTCTCAAGTCGTCTCATCTTATTAACACCGCGTAGACAGTTAGAGGGAAAGTAGAGGAGGAAAATGGTGATGGAACGCCTTTTGTGATACAAACACAGGGTCAGAAAGTATACCGGAGCTGGCTATCCACGTTTCTGCCAACCCGATATATTTTCCCATCACCCTGCTCCGCATCACATGCAAATGCAATGATTTTGGTCTGGGCCAGAAGAACGTAAATCCGGCCGCCCGTAGCCCTTTACAGAAAAAAAAAAAGGAAGGGACGGGGATCCTTTACTCTAGGACAAAAATGAAAGTTTCCTGCTTTCCTATCTCTCACAATCGTTATGTTTACCACGTGAACCTCCCCATGTGTTGCTTTGAAATCGGACCCCCCTAACTTAAAAACACCCGAATAGGGGTTGGGACATTGGGTATTCTAAAAAAAAAAAAAAGGTGCACCGCTTGCTGAGTACTGCATGGTTTCCAACATAGACATGTCTGGTATTTGACGATGGGGCTTTGTCATCAGAAATCCCCAGCATTTCGTAACTAGCGAGCTCCATCGTATGAACGTATTACATTACAACGCAATCCTTGTCGTCTTTCGTCTGATTCTTTTTCATTTTCGCGTTACGTGGTGGGGCGACGTCCATAGGCGTCCCGCCGCCGCTCACAGCGGCCCGAATCGCAGCGAGTCTTTGCTTAGCCCGCTCATCGCCGGCATCAGCTGCCTTGACATACCAAACGTTGGCCTCGAGAATGTCGCGGCGGCACCCTATGCCCATTTCGGTGAAATAGCCAACGGCGTATTGAGCTTTTACGAAGCCTGCTTACACGACTCGGTTAGTAATATACCAAGGCTACCGCGGATATCCAAGTAAGGACTTACCAAGTTCTGCTGACCGACGAGCCCATTCGTAGGCTTCCTCCTCGTCCTTTTCCAAGATGGGGTCAGCGCCGACCATGTACCACGCACATAACCCCATCATGGCTGCAGCATGGCCACGCTCTGCTGCCCCGGTGTAAAAATGAACGCTTAAGGCTGGGTCTCGCGGGCAGTTTAGTTTTCCGTGTTCATACGCATCTCCCATGCGGTAACTTGCTTCAGGGTGTCCGAGCTCAGCTGCTTGTGTGAATAGTTCAGCAGCATAGCCTTCATCTTTAAAAATGTCATCGCCATATCCAGTTTCGTACAATGTGCCAAGATGATATGGGGCGGCATTGTACATGGTGTCCGCCGACTCCGTGGCTCGCTTCAGCCACTTAACCCCCTCCCTGTACCGATTTTCACCCAAGTCTCCTGAGAGACAAGCTTTCCCAAGTCTTGTCATAGCGCCTGGGTGATTCTTGGATGCGGCTGTTCGTAGGAATTGGACTGCTTTGGCTGGATCTTTTCTACATCCCCATCCAAATTCGTAGCATAGTCCGGCGCGATAAGCAGACTCAGCGTGGCCGTGTTTCGCGGCCAAAACGAAGAGGGGAAACGCCGCATTATAATCTTCCTTGCCCTTGTTAAACAGACCCGACGCAAAGCCATCGGCTAGATAATACTGTGCAAAAGGATAGCCGCCATTGGCTAACCTTGTTAATATGCTTTTAGCTTCCCGAACCAACTCTAATGGCGAAGAGTCCGGAGTTTCTTTATTCGGGCTACCCTTTCTCCGTACAGGTTCCTCAAATTCTAAACCTTGCTCCTGTGCAGTAGAGATCAAAAAGATAGCGAATGAATACTGAATAGAGAAGTCGGTTGTCTTTTTTACATTTAGCCTGTACATCTCCAGCGTCTTCTGCGCACTTAGTAAGGAGGCATTACTTCCAACATTGTTACGCAGGTAAGAATTGTCGAATGTGATGGGAGCTGGAGCCTGCTGAGGATACGGCACGTTAAGCAATTCTGCGTAGGAAGTCGGTCTAGTTTCAGGCGATCTGCGAGAATGGACGGAAGGAGTGCGCGCGTGAACGGCCCCGTAACTCGGCGACCGTCCGCGCGGGTCCAATTCGGAATATCCGGAATATGTTGATTGCGGCCGGGGCATAGAGCTTCTCCTCATAATAGAGTTTGGGGTTAAGTGTCGATTTACAGGGATAGCTGGATCCGAGAGGATATCAGACTTGGAAGAATTTCTCGAATTTGACTCAATTGGCACGCTGGAGACTCGCGGAAGAAATGGCTGGTGATGATATTGTAACTGAGGTACTGATTGACTGCCTTGTAATGAGTTCTCAGTAAAAGAATCTTCTTGAGAGGTCTCATCTGGGATAACTTGGCTCTCGTATGCTTCATTGAGACATCCTGAGATCGAACTTGCGCTTGTCTCGACGGACGAGTCGGTAGATGTCTGCTGCTGCGTACTCGCGGTTGCATCTGATTCGCGACTATGTCGATTAGGATCATCGCTGTGAGAGCTCTCGCTAAAGCTTCGACCGTCCGGTTCCGGCACAACCGAGGTTTCCATATACCCTGCTTGGGTCTGAGCCAGAGTAGGACTTAGAATCTTCCGACTCTCCTGACACGATCTATAAGGAAGGTCGGCAGCAAATGTCTGTTTAGGTGTCGACGAAGTCCTAGGCGGATCATAGGTACTAATATGGGGAAAGTACGCATCTAAATACCCCGGGATGTCTCGCGCGCCCCTAGCTGCAGGCATTGGATGAGATATTCGCTGTGCCTGTTGGTAGCTCTCGATACTCGCGTTCGACGGTTGCGCCCAATTGCCCGGCTGAAAGTTTAGTCTAATCGGAGACACGGGTAACTCTCTGATTTTCGGCGACTCGATCATGGTGTCGGTCGGTAGGGTGTTGTCGGCAAAGCTCTCTTGAGAATCGGCACGATCATGTTGACCGAGAGGGAGTTTTGGTACGGGCAGAGGTTTCCGGCGAATAGACCTGGCAGGAGAGGCGGTAGATGGGGTCGGAGAGGTCGGAGGACTCGTAATCGTAGCCATTGCTCAGGGAGAGGGTGATTCGCCGCCGCAATGGCTAACGAGGAGAGAGGAATGAACACAGGTAGTCCTTAGAGCCGTAGCCCAGACCCAAGCATTGATTCGCAGCAGGCTCGTTTCTATTGTGATTCCGCGAACATCACAGAGATTGGACCCCTAGAATTACTGCAACGATTGCTGTTCGGCCGGTATAACTCTAATAACAACTCAATTGTCGGTAACGAGCGAACGCCGGGGGATGCCGGCTGAGTGGACGGGGAACAGGGCTCGGAGGTTTTGAGCAGGGCCGGGCCAAATGGAAAAATTGGAAAAAATTGATTGTATCTATGGCCGCGGGGTATCTCAGACAATAAGTCTAATTGGTGATGCAAATTCTAGGCAAGAAAGCAATAACGAGTGTGGAAAACGTTGGCGGAAAAGCTGTAAAAAGCTGAGGCTACAGCCGCGGGTAGGGTTGTTGTACGGCAGTAATTAGAAAAAAACGAGGGACTAGATGCTGCAGGTCGACGAGACAAAGCGATCACCTAAATTCGATGGTCGGTCGGAGGTAGGGTACCTAAGTGGTAGAAAGTTTAGGGGTGGCTACCTTGTTGGGTACATATTCCATGTAACTTCGTATGCTTAGCGACTTTTTTCGGAGACACATATGTGGATGTAGTGTACCTTGGCTTGCAGCTTTGCAGGCTTTGTAGGCTTTGTAAAGAGCAGTATGTACTGCTGATGAGTCTCCCCCCACCTGCCCACCTAAAATACGGATCTCCATTCAGCCATTGCTCCATTTGTATTGTACTAATGTTCTTCTCTTCCCTTTACCTAACACATACCTATTATGTATGTAATCTGCTACCTGCAATGTGTAATGTGCAATTCGTTATAAATCGAGTTGAAAAAATGATTACTTTCCTAGTTAAACACCTAATAGCCTATTGATATCCCATATAATACCTATATTTCCCTATTTCCCCATTTCTAAGAAAAAAAACTAACCATAAGTGGTCCCTCTGCAAACAATTGTATCGATTTGTCTATTTATACGTGCGAAGGATCGAGAGTGCTGCTGGCGAGACCCGTAGAGGATGTAACATCGACGATTACGCCAATCACGCAGCTAATCAGCTAACCAGTAGCACCTAACGTTGGTACGGCCTGTCCTGTTAATCTCAGCTGTGTCGAAGAGCGTATTCACGTTCCTACTTACATTTCTGCGGTCTTCTTCTCCACTATAGGTAGATGTTAAACAGCAAAGTTACTGTATAAAGCAAGCCAACGTTGTCAGCAAGGGCCCTTCTTAACTGCTTGTAACGAAGGATGACGGATGCAGAGATGTTGCAGAGAGATCTTCTACATCGGTCAAGTCAGAATGAGGCCGAATGAGCAAAGAAAAAATCCCTCTTCTCGTAAAGCAAAGGCTGGCTGACAACACCACGTGCAGTGATACGAACTCGGGCGTCGAGGATCCAGTTGTGCCCTACTTACATCCTATTTATCCCACTTACATATATCTAGTATAGGTCGGTATTCAGGGCCCGCAGCTTGCTGCGTCACTTGACCGTTAGCTTCATCTCTTCACGTAAGGCTGCCTTCGTACTCTGTTGTACACGCATATACTTACGATATGTGTAATACGGAACACGGAAGCGGTTGACGAGCTTAAAAAAGACCCTTCGTGTTTCCAGTCTCGGCAACACGGTCAAGGCTACGTGCATAGGCACTTTATACATAGCATCGGGCACCAGTCCGGTCTATCTAACCGCCGGCTTTATTGTCAACTCCTGTCTATTTTTTGAACATGCCATGTCAAGCGGGTTTCTAGCGGGATTTTTAGCTTTACCGTAGTAGATTGCGCCGTTGTGGATGTCATGCTTAGGCGCACTTGATAGTGCTTTCAAGGCGGTAGCAGAATAACAACCGGTCTCTGTCGCCAACCTCAAATCGTATGGTGTCATTGCGTTTTCTTATCTTGGCACCGAGACCAGAACCTTTCCAGGAAGAGCTTGCTTAAAAAGACTAACAAATATGTCGCCAGGCCCCTCGGGTTTTCCCTTCGGGAAACTAAAATAGAGACGTCCGTTCACTTCGTTCCTCGTTTCACGAAACAACCGTCATATTGAGACCACGTGCTGAAGTTTGCATGAACCCACATGGCGACACAGCGGACATATAATGGTATGACCGCCACGATCCGTCACGTGTTCTTTATCTGTTCTTTATCTTCATCTTCCTTCGTTTGTTTGTTTTGCGGCTCTTATTAATTGTAAATTTAAATTAGTCGTCGAGGCTGTATGTTTGATGTACCTAATCTTGATGATAGGTACACTCTGCATGCCATAGAGATTAGATCTAGATCGGTTTGTTTCATCTCAAACAATTTTATAGATTTCTTTAAGGCAGGGGTTGTCTTGAACATGAACGCGCCACGGCCTGATATTTCGTTGCGACAAAAGTGTACTTGTATATACAGAATAACTAGGTACATTCGTCACTAGCCTTAGTAGTTTCCTTCGAAACAATTTGGCAGGTGGCATTCCCCTAATAATTCAACCGCCACGCTCGCCTAACTTATGTCTCATAAATTCTAACCCAGCCGCCTGGGTACTAAGTCCGACGCATAGCACTTAGCAAAATTCAATTGAGGAAATGTGGATATCACGATTTATTGTAAAAGTTTAACCTAGACTAGTACCTTATTTCAGGGGTAGCTAAACGGCTAGAATATTATTGAGAAATTCAATTCTGGGGGTTTTTCCCCCTTGCTTGGCGCGGTAAGGCAGAATTACAATAGTCAAATTCGTGGATATTCGTACATATTCAATTACACAATTCCATTTATGGGCTGGTCCAGGATTAATATATCGAGTCTTTCTAGTCGGCTAATGAACATGAACAAGATTGGAACTGCTACCTTAGGTAATTATTGTTACTTGGAAAACTTGTACCTGCGCATATACATAGTAGGATCGGCTAGATACTTAGCTCCAGGTAATGCGAGAATGATGACGTACCTATTGAAGGTTACCACAGTGACCTGGAATGGACTGTGTACCTGACTTAAGACCACACTGTACTTTGTACAACGCAGCCCCCCCTTTCCCCGATTCCTCGCCGTGGCCAGCACGGCAAGATTTATCCTTTTTCATCTCCGTCCTCATCCAACGTTGCTTCGTCTGATCGCTTCAATTGTCCTTCGGGTCACCAAGGTTGGAGGCTCTTACCTTCGCTCTTACTTTCGCTATTGTCTGGTCTCCGCCTTACTCTCGTTTTATTGCAATTCTTTTTGCGTAGCTGCTATACTTTCGCTCAAAGCTTTTAAACTGCAATATTCTTGATTTCCAGTCGTCTAATTGATGCGATCGGCCGTCTCCAATTTATTACAGGGCAGAAGGTTCGATTAGCTAAGCTCTTCTTTTTCATAGTTGGCGCTCTGTGTTACCCATTGATACCCGCTAGTCCGTAATCCTGCAATTGCTTACGGGGCTTTCGACGATAACTCTTCTTTATGGTTATGTTTATCCTGCTGATGCGCCGTTAAAAGAACAACTGCTCCAGAGTTGACTGCCGTTGAAAGGGGAGGTTTTTGATGAAAAGTCGGCATCACGGGTCACGGGTCACGGACATTCATATATACTGGCGCCCCCCTTTTTAGCTTTAATTAGCGCTGGCTTTTAAGCTTTTACATAGATCGTTAGATCGTTGGTTATTGGTGCAGGGATCCTCTTCCCTTTAGTTGCAGCTAAAACTTGGAACACTCCGACCACCAGTTGCCCGTCACAACAAATCAGTAAGTAAGAAGAAAAACATTCGCAATCTCATCTTATTCCCCCAGCAAACTTCCACTTTATTCTCCATACATAACTCCATACATAACTCATGCAGATCTTTTCTTACCATGTTCCGTGCTCAGTAGGTCCCAACCTCCGCCATCCCTGAGCCAATCCGCGTCTCGTCAAGGCGAAGGGCCGGTCTGCGACACGTCCCCCAGTCCGTGCCGTGACCAACAGCGAACGTCTTGACCCGCGAAACTTTTCATATATACGTAACCGCTCAATACTCATCAAATAATCTTCCTTATTCAGTTGATCACTTATAATCATGTCGCTCCCCGAGCGACCGGGGCCCGCGAGTCCTTCATATGAACATCGGACTTCCTATCGACAATCGTCGTCGAGACGCGCTCGTCCTTCCGACATAGAAACTGGATACTATCCTGTTCCCGGCCGCCGGCAATCCTCACACCAGCGTGCGCCATCGGGAAATTCTTTCGCTGAGACAATTAGGAATCCTAATGCAGCCACGGACAAATCACCTCTTTCGCCAACTTCTCCAGATGAAATTCCTAGTGGTGTACCGACCCGTAAGAGAAGTCTCATAAGACCGGAAAGGAACAGAATCGACAGGGATCATCCGAATTATTACTATCGGCAACATGCTGCTAATATGGAGACAATTCCGTCCTCCACCGGTAATGATCCTCTTTACGAGGAGCTAGAAGCAAGGACGGATTTATCTGGCGAACGGACTATTGATGCTACTTCGGACAGCTCCCCTCCTCGACGGAAACCCAGCGGGGATGACGAGAAACATAAGCCCAAAGCATCACAACGGAAACGGCATTCGTCGGGACCCAAAATTTCCAAATCCAAGGGTTCTAAGCGCCGGAAGTCGCAAGAGACCATTAGTCCTCCGAGCGCATGGAACGTATACTGCGCTATCGTCACCTTCTGGTGCCCTGACTTTATCTTAGGATGTTGCGGGTTTAATTCAAAGGAGCAGAAGAGGGCCTGGAGAGAAAAGATGGGTCTCATCAGTCTTATCTTGTACATCATGGCTTTCGTTGGTTACTTGACCTTCGGCTTCCAGCAAACTGTCTGCGCCTCGCCTGGTGTACGTCTTCATATCAATGACGTTTCTCCTGGTTACATGATATTCCATGGTACTGCCTACGATCTGACCAGATCTGGTCACCCTCCGGCCGAGGGTATCCCGCTTCGCCAGGACGGTTCATTTCCCAACATTTTATATGATTTACCGACCCATTACGGCGGCATGGACGGCAGCTTTCTCTTCCAGAATGTTAACGGTAAATGCAAAGGCCTTATTACATTGGCGGACAATTCGGACGTTCCGCATGACGCCAACGACCCGGACGAGCTCGCCTGGTATTTTCCGTGTACAGCGTTTAACCAAGATGGTTCATCTAAACCTAATTTCACCTGGCCGTACGACAGTCCTGGTTACGCATGCCACACCACTCAGAAAGCTAGGGATACGTTCTATCTTCAACTTCATAGCACCGGCGATGTGTTCTTCACCTGGGACGATATAAAGAATAGCTCGCGAAACTTGGTCGTGTACTCTGGTAACGTCCTTGATCTAGACCTTCTCAACTGGTTCAACGAAGACGAGGTCAAGATTCCGGACCGGTTCAAGGAGCTGCGAGACACGAGTTCGCCTGCCAACCAAGCAATTCGTGGGCGTGATATCACCCGAGCATTCCAGAAACCCGCCGACAAACAGATAGCTGGGTGTCTCGAAGAGATCGCAAAGGTTGGGACCGTAGATACAGATACAGTCGGATGCATCGCGGCCCAAGTAGTTCTTTACGTGTCTCTAATCTTAATTCTGTCCGTCGTTATAGCAAGATTCGGCTTAGCGCTGATATTCCAATGGTTTATCAGTCGCAAGTATGCTGCTATTAAGACCTCGCAATCGGCCGATAAGAAGAAGCGGAATCGACAAATCGAGGACTGGACTGAGGATATCTACCGAGCACCACCACGCATGCCCGGAGACGTGGGCAGCAGCTATATGGGCTCTGATAGAACGAGCAAACGTACCAGCACCTTCCTACCGACGACGTCTCGATTTTCAGCTGTCTACGGCAGTGACAGAAATCCCAGACGACCACAGCCGACGACTATGGCAAGCCAAGCCTCAACTGGGCCACTACTTCACCCCAACTCGATGTACAAGCAGGGCAACGACAGCAGGGCGAGTATGCTCCGTTCTGATCCGTACGGTAGTACGGCTAGCCCGATGGATGGTTATGGCCCCGCCGGATTCATCCACGAAGCGGTGGTACCCCAGCCGCCTTCTGATTACCAGCCTTTCGGCTTCCCCTTAATTCACTCCATCTGCCTTGTTACGGCCTACTCCGAAGGTGAAATGGGTATCAGGACCACACTAGACTCAATTGCCATGACGGATTATCCGAACAGCCACAAGGTCATCATCGTTATTTGCGACGGTTTGATCAAGGGTAAGGGCGAGAGTAAGACGACACCCGATTTTGTTCTTGGTATGATGAAGGATCACACTGTACCCGTTGAGGAAGTCCAGGGTTTCTCGTACGTAGCCGTAGCCAGTGGTTCAAAGCGGCACAACATGGCCAAGGTGTATGCTGGGTTTTACGACTACGGTGCTAAGTCCGCCATTCCGATAGAAAAACAGCAAAGGGTTCCCATGATGCTAGTGGTCAAGTGCGGCACGCCTGACGAAGCTACCAAGTCCAAGCCTGGTAACCGAGGCAAGCGTGACAGTCAAATTATTTTGATGTCCTTCTTGCAGAAGGTTATGTTTGATGAGCGCATGACGGAACTCGAATTTGAGATGTTCAACGGACTTTGGAAAGTAACCGGTATTTCTCCTGATTATTACGAAGCGGTTCTCATGGTGGATGCCGATACCAAGGTGTTCCCCGACAGTCTGACTCATATGCTCTGCGCCATGGTTCGCGACCCTGATATCATGGGACTCTGTGGTGAGACCAAGATTGCCAACAAAAGACAGAGTTGGGTATCGGCCATTCAAGTCTTCGAATATTTCATCTCCCATCACTTGTCCAAGTCCTTCGAGTCTGTTTTTGGTGGTGTTACTTGTCTTCCCGGCTGTTTCTGCATGTATCGCATCAAAGCCCCCAAGGGCGCGCAGAATTACTGGGTTCCTATCCTGGCCAACCCAGACGTTGTTGAGCATTATTCAGAAAACGTCGTTGATACCCTGCACCGGAAGAACCTTTTGCTTCTTGGAGAAGATCGATACTTGACAACGCTCATGCTTCGAACTTTTCCCAAACGTAAGCAAGTCTTCGTCCCTCAGGCCGTTTGCAAAACTACCGTCCCCGACGAGTTCAGCGTTTTGCTCTCTCAGAGACGAAGATGGATTAACTCCACGATCCATAACTTGATGGAACTGGTTCTCGTTAAGGATCTTTGTGGTACATTCTGCTTTAGTATGCAATTTGTCGTTTTCATCGAGTTGATGGGCACTTTGGTTCTTCCTGCAGCTATCGCTTTCACCTTCTATGTCGGTAAGTTCATGTCATATCCCCAATACGCGATGTCTCGTAGCTCTATTCTAACATGGTTCTAGTCATCTCCTCTATTATCGGCCCAGTGCAAGTCATTCCGCTAATCCTCCTTGGCCTGATTCTTGGTCTACCGGCCGTCCTCATCGTCGTCACGGCTCATTCGTGGTCCTATGTCGTGTGGATGTTTATCTACCTCTTGTCCCTGCCAGTCTGGAATTTTGTACTCCCAACTTACGCTTTCTGGAAGTTTGACGACTTTTCGTGGGGCGATACCCGAAAGACTGCGGGCGAGAAGACGAAGAAGGCTGGTATAGAGTACGAGGGCGAATTCGATAGCAGCAAGATTACTATGAAACGATGGGCCGAGTTCGAGCGGGAACGCCGAATAAGGGACAATTACTGGGGGTCGAGGGAGAACATAGCCGGCGGAGCCTGGCCCTCGGGTCCTAATAACGCACCGTACCATCATTCTTACGATGACCAGTACTATTCGGACGCATGAATAAAAGGGGGCGGGGTTACGTATTGAGTATTACGAAGTTATTCATTTGCTATATACAGGAGTCGGTGCTGTTGTAGACAGACTTGGGCAGCGGCTGTCCTTCTGACGAAGTGTAGATCCTATAATGCAGGATTCAATAGCATGGATTGAAGTATATGTATAGAGAGAACCGAGAAGCGTTTAGTGTCGTTTAGCTTTTTGTACATAACATAGCTCTCTGGGGTTCCATTGTGACGTAAAACTAATAGGACAGTATACACATCATGCTTCGAGACTTTGTAATCTCTGCTCGTTTGCTATCTCCGCTTCTTCCGACTTGCCCATGTGTGTAACTTTCCGTGATCTTATACTACGAGATCTATAGCAGAGTCATCGTTCTACAGAATGCTTCGTACGTACAGCGAAGTTGTGCGATCACGGCAGTAACCAGCTTCGGGGTCGGAAGCTAGGCTCGTACTACGGTTGGGCAGCTACAGGACCATCGTCCACTGCTCAGTCTATGGCTGTGCAACGAGATCTCGCACGCGCGTGTTACGGCGTGGAAGACCTAGTGTAGCAAATATCTGTAACGAAGCACAGATGAGAGGCTAAAAAGGATAGCTCGTTTTTGATGGCCCACGCGGATGAGAATTCCGAGGAATAACGTGTCAGGACAAACCTACATACCCCAGCTTCGTAGGAAATTATACCGCGGTTCTTTCCGTCTAGTTTGCTAGGATGAATTAAGAATCTTAGGAAGATACCGATTGCGAGGTAAGCTCCCGTAAGCTACGAAGTTTACCGAAGGGACGACGATGTCGAGGCACCTCGGTGGAGGATTTGCTTGCTTGTGGAAGAGCTGGGTTAGTCCATGTCCGCGGATATCGGCAACCACAGAGCAAACCGCAGGCAAAACAAAAAAAAAGAGAGTGCGCATCCCAGCAGCCACAGGACCCAGCATCCGGGATGGTGGTGATGGCTGTGGTTGGTGGCGAGTCGAAGACATTGTCAGGTTAGTATCACCAGATAAAAAGGCTAAGAACGTTCTAAGACTGCGAAGGGCCGCATTGGGAGGCGATCTTAGGCTCGAAACAGTGAGATCAGAACTGACTGATGCTACGCTGCAGCTATCCGTGTTCCGCCTCAAGGTGCGGCAAGACAAGAAGTGAGACATGAGAGCAACGAAAAAAGAAAAAAAGGAAGGGGAGACGATAGTAAAGGAGCGCGCTCCGGCTTCGTGAGGGCCAACCGACTTTTGGGCCGGCGAGAAGGATAATTTAATAGCGTTGCGAGAACTACGCAGTGGTGGTAAGTTGAGATGACTCAGATGAGGATGGGACGTGCCGGCGCAAAATAGACCCTGATCGATCATGCTGTACCACCACCTACAATGGCTGAATGGGTAGTGGTGGAGGCCGGGAATAATACGTATGCCAGCGGCGCGTTGCCTCGCGATATTTTTTATTTTATTTTGTCTTAACGGGGTTCTGACGCACGCGGATCAGCGGTGCTGGCCCCAAAGATTGGTGCTTCTTGGGCAGCGGACCACTTCAAAATTAGCGATGGAGTCAAGTTAGTTGTTAGTTGCGCGTACAAGTTTCGAGGGGTTCGGGTGCGGGGTGTACAGGGCTGGACATTCTCCTTTCCCCAGTGCCGTATGCTTGGTACCGAAGGGTTGCTGGCTTATTAGTAGTATGTAATAGCACCTTTGCCGCCTCGGATTCGAAAAGTTCGGTTAATAACTCGTGTGCCGGCGGTGAGTGTTTTCGGGAGAGTACATATACTTTTATGGACGTTGCGGGACCCGACGACCCCAGGCCCTTTTTCTTTCTATTTCTCGCTCCCTCCCCACCCCGACCCCCATGGGATGGGCCATGGCGAATGAAGACTCGACGGGAACCGTGCGAAGGGTAAATTTTAATCCCGTCAATCAAGCATCTCCATCTCGGTGTCTCACCCGGCGAGGCACCTCGTAATATATATATGTATATATGTATGTATTAGAATACTGACTCGTCAAACTGAGAAGCCACGAGCTCACCGGTTGAAAAGGGGAGGGTTTATGAAAACAATAGCTTTCTATTTTGTGACTTGGACGAGCGGTTCATAGGACGGATGCCGGGATTAAAAGTGATATATCATACTTGAAATTTGAGAGACTGATGGGGGATGGGGGATGGGGGATGGGAGATAGAGGATAGAGGATTGCCATATGGTAATGCAATGCACCAACATATCGTTCGTCATTAACTATGCTGAATAATTGCTGAGAATAGGAAATGTGGACAATGTGGAAATCAAGGTTCAAGACGTCCTTTTGTTCATATTCGGAATACTTGATGTTTTATTCCTGATGATGATTATCTCCGGTTGTTGGGCGCATGCAGAGCCAGTCGGACTGGGGCATGTGATGATGTACGGGAGATGATGGATTGTGGATTCAATGTTGCTTTCCGTTTTACACTACGGGTCCGTAGGTACATACTCGTGCAATAAACTGCAATAACGACCTTGTAGTGTATGCAGGTAGTATGTACGTACCTAACATGTAAGTCAGTCCAAAAATGGCTCTTACTCCAAGACCCCCAAACTTCCTGCCTGTGGAAATCGGTGGGTAAGGTAGATACATCATGTATGTACTTGCATATTATACTAACTACCTAGGTACTTATAAATGGGCGTGGATACTGTATGCGTTCATGTACCTTTAGCGAAACAGCTGTGGCGTGGTCGTCTGGTCGTCATATTGGTCCTTTATTTGCATTCTGCATTTCGCATTTGCATTTGTTCTCCACTAGCGTAATGTAATTGGCATCGATGTTGTATCTTTCTATCAGTAGCCCATCCTCCCCCCCCCAATCCATCGTCATCACGATGTAGCAGTAGAAGCAGCCTGATCCGCTCCTTATCTTACATCGATCGATTGGGTACGTATGCCTATGCCGTCTCGCAATTTCTAACTCTTAGGTAACTACCTACATACATGCAGACATGCCAACCAGATTAACCCAACGCATCGAAAAACGTAAACTACCTACCTAACCTACATACATGTAAGGTAACTACCTCCTACCTAATGTACATAGGTACCTAAAATAGGCAAGTTTAAATTTAAAACGTGGTGCTGTTACTAGTGTAATCTCGTTCTGATACGATATATACCCCGCCGACCCTCTTTATCTATTACATACCAAAGTTTATCTACAATACATAAGACTCCAATACATACATTGGACCTAACTAACCTACATAGAATAGAAGGTTCACGCTACTGTATACCACCCTCGATAGCCGCAAACTAGGGATCGCTGCCTTGACCCATCTTGGCGTCCTGCTGAAGATCCGCCATCCATCCCGTCCGACCATCATCTACCTATACACTAGTAATAGTGTAGTGCATGTAGGTTTGTTACTACCTCAACTACTACGCAGTTACGCAGCTACACAGCTACACAGCTACACAGCTACATTACATGTATACCTCGTTACCTCCCTATTTTATGAGCCAATAAGAAGCGTCTGCACGACAGAAACATAAAAGCAACACGGGTTCATCTTATGTGAACCCCCAATACTAGAGCGGTTAGGCTCGAATTTCCATCCAAATGACTTGACCACCTCCAACAACGATGCGCCCTACTAATTCCCCACCCGTCTCTCCATTCCTCGCTCCAGACCGTCCTCAGATCGACCAAGATGCCTTCTCATCTTCTCAGCCTCAAATTGCTGAAGTTGATCTACCTGACCCTGACAGTCCTATGAATGACTACCAGTGGTCACCCCCATACGTCCCGACATCGACATCTACTGCGCATGCCAACTCTGCCAACTCCGACGGTGCCCAAGTCTTTGAAGATAGTAATGACGCCGGTAGTAGTAGCACCGACAATAACCACGACATGTTGGACATCGATATCGAAGAAGGTGGCGCTCCCTTAAACAATCTTAATAACATGGAAGACCCAGACGACCAAAGTCACGTCATGGCGCCTGTCGAATATGCGCTCATTAATAACCATCTCGGCATCCCAATACAGCCTTCGCCACCCATTGATACCGATTTAGGTACCATCCCACCCTCGCAGACGCTGCTGCCGCTCCCAGACGTTCAAGACCCTGCCGAAGATGACATCGATGCCGCCGCGAACACTGGTCTTCATCCTATGGCCCTTAGTAATGCGAATCCCATGTCGCTCGGGCCCGAGAACCCGCACGTTATGCAGTTTCTTGAGCTCTGGGAGTGGCAGAGCAATGCAGACATGCAACTACGAGCAAACGGACCCGTGCCGTCCTTCCAACAAATCAGTCGTCTGGCCCGGGAATGCCCGCGCCGAGTAGATTATAACCAGTTGAGGGGTGATCTATACGACTTCCAAGGCATCAGTTGGAGGGATCTAGGAGTGACGAGGAATATGGCGCGATGTCGTCGTATGGCGACGTTTCATAACTACGTGAACAGAGTGAATTCTGATGCGTTTCATACTGATTCGTCCGACAGGCTACTACGCCCTGTCGAGAATTACTTTAGATATAAGAGCATGGACATTAGGCGCGATGTGCGCCTGCTACATTTTCAGCTTCGCAATATATTAGGCGTCGCATCGCGAACGAGGGCATTCTATCCGAGCTTTACTACGATCAAGGAGCATGACCCTACTACGGGACGGGACAAAGTAGCGATGCGCTTCGACAGCCAAACCGGTGCTCATATATCTACACTAACCGCTAGCGAGGATATACTGATTGCTGGCGGTTTCTATGGGACCTATCGTTACCGTTACCTAAACTCCTCCAAAGACCTCGAGGCACACGAAGGACTATTGACCAATCATAATAGCGGTATAACAAATCACGTACAAATACATTCTTCTCGGCACTCATCCACTCCGTTGGCTGCCTTTGCTTCCAACGACTTTGGTTTCCGGGTAGTGGACCTATCTACGAATAGTGTTAGGTCGGAAATCATGTATGAGTCGGCGATGAATTGTTCTGCGCTAAGTCCAGATATGAGGCTTCGTGTTATAGTTGGAGACGACCAAAACGTACTCATCACCGACGCGGAGACGGGTGAGATACTCCAAAGTCTCGAGGGTCATAGAGACTTTGGCTTCGCTTGCGACTGGGCGCCGGATGGTTGGACCGTCGCGACTGGAAACCAAGATAGGAGTATCAGAATATGGGATGCCCGCAAATGGAAGAATAGCAAGGGCGAGAGTACTTCGGTTGCCGTGGTAAGAACCGAGATGGCCGGCGCGCGTAGTTTACGGTTCTCCCCTCTGGGATCTGGCAAGCGAATTCTAGTTGCCGCCGAGGAAGCTGACTTCGTCAATTTAATTGACGCTCAAACATTCAATACCAGGCAGACAGTCGACATATTCGGCGAACTCGGCGGCGTCGGGTTTGCTAACGAGGGACAAGACCTAATCGCGTTGTCATGTGACCTTTCTCGAGGAGGCGTCTTGCGCTTGGAGCGGTGCGATGCAGGGGCGGAAGATAACTTCAGTTACGCACATAGGAAATACAGGGAACCCGGGAGTTGGTGGCGAACCCCGGGGTACGACTGGATGCAAAGCCCGGAACAGATCGTAGCAGCACCAGGCTCGCGGCAGAGTCTTACGCACAAACGGAGGCATGCGGCCATGTTGGAAGACTGGACGTTCTGATGCGACGTATATAAGGGCGAGGGTGAGGACGAGGGAGGATTGAAAGGAAGGCGTTATCGGGATATCCAAGCATTTAAACGGGCAGCAAGCGACGGGCATCGGTTCATTGCTTCCTCTTCTTCGTTCACTTTTTGTTTATTCGTTCCCCGGGGGAATACATATCGCTTGCTGTTGGTAGTCTGGGGGGATTTGTTGCGTACATTACTTACATCACGAGGAGGGACAGCGTGGGAAGGAAGGGAGTCTAGCCTTCGGGAGACAGAACAGACGGATTCTCATTGGGATACATTTCGGGAGAAGGACACACAAGTGGACATAGCCGGGCTTATCAGTATATAATCCTCATGAACGCTTCGCCTGCCGCGAGTTCGCCTCTCACCTCGCTCAGTTTTTGTTTTTTTATAAACGCACGCCGGAGCTTAGGTCTATAGGGAGCGGACAGATTTAAGGTGAAGCCTCTTGTACTGGTAACCACTTCTTCTTCTTCTTCTTCTTTTTTTTTTTTTATGATATGGCACACATCGCACGATACTTGCGCGGCACGAGTAATATGCTTCACGATGAAACTTAGAGAGACGTATGGGTTTCGAGAGAAAGGTGGAGAGGTAAGATATAAGAGGCAAGAGGGAGAAGCAGATCGAAGGAGGATATGATATCGTAATTGTATACATACCACGTGTGCTCTTATACTAGGATCTATCGCAATTTACCACGCGTACATATCTACATTGGGTACTCGGTTGTGTGTTTTGCTGTTTGCCAGTTTACTATTTAACTTAGGTACCTATTATGGCTTTCCTAATCGTGGATAAAGGCGGGAAGTTGAAGAAAGGCATTGTATAGTCAAGGTCTAGACGTATGAAAACTAACTTATACTCGCTATCGAATAGGCGTTTCTCCTTAGTTGGTTGTCTGAACATGATGGTGTAGAGTTGAGAGAGAATTACTAAATGTACTAACTGGCATGTCTCGAGGAGTTTTGTCTTTCAGGGTAGACTGAATGCCTTAGGTATATAATGAAAATAGAAACAATTTCCCGTTAACTATGTCATACTACAACATACTACTACCCGCGTGAGAACCGTGTTTATGTTCCTCTCTCTCAATCTAAACTATATGCTATGTAATTACTCTACCAAATCCATTCATTGCTTCTACGAATATCTTCGCTATACTAGTGAAACAACACCTTATACACTTACAACTAGACAAACCGTATAACTAACTAACCTAGCAAACTTAACTAGTATTATATAGGACAAGACCATTGAATAAATAACGGTAACCGTAACGTAGATCTTCGTTGAGGGTATCTATCTCATCTACCTATGCATAATGTAATGTAATGCTATGCCATGCCATGCTATGCCATGTCATACGCACGCACGCAAGCGTTACAAGTAGTTTATTTACTCCGACGCCCCTGGATTGTTGAAAGTCTCAAAGTGCCCAAAAAAATGCAACCCACCAACCAACCCGTATTCTTCGCTCCCACCATCTTATATTGCATTGCGTTGCGTTGCGTTGCATTATACAAACACCCTCAGCAAGCAAGCAAGCCACGCCATATGTCTTGGTTTCCGTAACCTTAGGTACCTACCAACCTTACATACCTAATATGTACCGTCGAAAATGTAATAATAACCTAAGCGTTCCCTTTCCAGTACTTACTCGGCACAAACGGCATCTTGGTCACGACCGCCTTCCGCGGACGTCCACGAATACTAACGACGAGCTCGGTCCCCGCCTTGTGCAGGCCGTCCTTGACATACCCCATGGCGATATTCTTGCCTAGCGACGGGCTCGGACATCCGCTAGTCACGGTGCCAACCTTCGCACCGCTCTCGTCCTGGATCTCAGCGCCTTCCCGCGCGGGTGCTCCCTCGACTACTAGCCCGATTCGCCGGCGCTCAACGCCCGCTCCGCCTTTACTCTTGGGCGTTAGTTGGCCGAGAATGACGCTTGCACCGTAGAACGCGCCTTTTGAGACGTCTGTCTCGCTGCGCCGCTCCTTGCCGATGATCCAGCTTAGCGCGCCCTCAACGGGTGTGATGTCTTCGTTTAGGTCGTGGCCGTACAGACACATGCCCGCCTCCAGACGCAAGCTATCGCGTGCGCCTAGGCCTGCCAGCTGTAATTTCTCCGGGCCGGCGGACTGAAGGAGTGTTTCGGTCACGGCAACGGTGTGTTCCTCAGGGATGGAGATCTCAAACCCGTCTTCGCCGGTATATCCACCTCTGCTGACTAGTATATCGGACACCTCACGCCCGTCCTGAAGCTTCAGCGTCACGGAGCGGCATTGTCCGAAAAACAACCCGTGGAGATCGGTTTCCTTGGGGTTGGCCAGGACTTGTTCGAGGATCTGTTCGGAAAGAGGGCCTTGCAGCGCGATCAAGCCCTGCCCATTGAGGACCGTGTGGTTAACAGACAGACGGTCCTCTTTCTCCCATTGTCCTAACTGCTCACTCAGATATGCGAGGTCTTTGTCCCGGCACCCGGCGTTGGTGACGACGTAGAAAGAGTTTTCGCCGAGCTTTGTTATAATGGTATCATCGACGATGCCGCCGCTACCAGGGACCAAAAGTGCGCTGAGGGTACTCGAGTTGACGCCGAGGCTCTCAAGGCCGGCAGGTGTGATTCGCTGGAGAAAGGCAGTGGCGCCGGGACCCTCGAACCGATGCTGGACCATGTGTCCGACGTCGAACAGCGAGGCATGGCTCCGCGTGAAGTGATGGGAGGCAGTGACACTCAGCCCGGCATACTGGACCGGCATATAGAACCCTCCGAAGGGCACGATCTTGGCGCCGTGCGAGACATGGAGATCGTAAAGAGCTGTCTTGCTTAGAGATTCGGACCCTGTTGTCGGTGCCGAAGCGTAACTTCGACGGCTTTGAACGGGGAGGGGAAGACGATTAGATAATACACGTGTTCGAGGGTGAGTTCGTGAAGTGATTATCGCAGCCAAGGCGCTTGTCTCAGAAGCCGAGGAAGACGCCGCTCGGGCGAAGAAACGGGGTTGCCGTCTTAGGGGCGCTCGGAGCACTGGCAGGCCCCTTTTAGCTGTGACGAGAATCCCTGAAGGCTTCATTTTGATCAATTGAAAATCAATTGGCAGGGAGTCAAGTTGCAGGACACGTTCCCCCGGTCTGGCGGTCCAATTCCGAAATTATGTTGTCGGTGAGAAAAGACCTTGCGGTCCTCGCCGTTGAAATATATTATGAGCGTCGGGGATCCCAGCATTGCCGATCCCGGCTTTACGTGGGGCCATATTTTATTATCTACCTAGGTATGTACATATGTACATGTATAAAACAGGAGAAAGCTAAGCCTCTTTGTAGAAAGTACAGTACTATGTATAGTACAATGTAAGCAAGGAGTTACACTCGTCTTTTTTTCTTTAAGTCCAGTTAGGTACTCCAGTTATAGCAGGGACACTGGGACCTTGTAAGGGCGACCCTCAATTTAGGCATGGCCATATACACAATTACGCAAGATAGATCTTATCTCCTATACTAAAAAAAAGGACCGCAACAAATCTCTAACCTAAACAAATCTCATGTTGCAATTACTGTAAACTACGAAGCCTTCCAATCTCGTTCTATCTCGTAATGCCAGCGTAAAAAGGGAAACAGGACCATATATTGAGAACATCCCACCAGGGCTTCACAAGAGCCACCATCATATCATGACATAGTGTTAATCATCATTCTTATTAATGGTGAACAATAGACGGGAAATGCCTCGTGAACGAGAAAAAGCAAACTAGAATGCGAGGCTCCGCTGGCCCCTGGTAGCGTGACCCAACGCATCAAGTTCTCTTTTACGTTCTGTAATATCAATTCGTACAGATTTCGTCCCAGTACGCCACTCCCCTCCTATGCTTCCAAAATCAAACTTGCGTCTTCACTTTGCAGGTTCACCGTAACCCATGAGAGCGAGAGCATACCGAGACCAGCGTCATTTATGGAATATATCGATTGCTCCGGGAATGAATTTGCGAGTTACAACCGACCCATTAAATTGGGGAGGAAAGGGAAACATGGTGAGTCGTAACGGGAAACGGGAAAATGACACAGTGCCCCCTCCCATTTACTGGTGTCCAGCCTTACGGAGCGTGGTGGCAAGCCATTCGAGACCCTCATACAGACCGTCTCCGGATGTAGCGCAAGTTGATTGAATGTACTACACCGCTGATTAGCACATATTATATAGGTGAGACAAGATAGGATGGAGTTACGTACCCAGGCGCGCTGTCTCAGGCTGTGAAGGCCGAGCTTGTCGGTAATCTCAGCAGCATTCATGGCGTTCTACAACCATCGTTAGCAAAATTTGTATTTGTAAATAATACGGTTAGGACGGAATGGAACATACGGGCAGATCCTGTTTGTTGGCGAAGACTAGCAGAATAGCATCCCGGAGCTCGTCCTCGTTCAACATGCGCTGCAACTCCTCCCGAGCCTCGACGATACGGTCTCGGTCGTTGCTGTCGACGACGAAGATGATACCTTGGGTGTTCTGGAAGTAATGTCGCCACAGAGGACGAATCTTGTCCTGTCCACCAACATCCCACACGGTGAATTGAATGTTCTTATACTCGACCGTCTCGACGTTGAAACCTGGAAGCGCGACGCGTGTCAATAATCAAAACAAAGGGTGGCGATGATGCTGACGTTCGGGTGGAGATGGCATACCGATAGTAGGGATAGTTGTGACGATTTCACCGAGCTTGAGCTTGTAAAGAATCGTGGTCTTTCCGGCAGCGTCGAGACCAACCATCAGAATTCTCATCTCCTTCTTCCCCCAGAGCTTGTCGAACAACTTGGAGAATGTGAGACCCATGATTGCGACTTTAAGAAGAGATGCGGTAAGTATCTATTACGGCTGTGGGCCTAAGACGATGTCGCTATATCTAGCACGAGAAAGAGGAGAAGTTAGTTAAGATGGAAGACGGAGGATGATGTGATTATCTCGAGGTAATTGGCAGCCAGTCGGGATTTATGGGGTTTAGTGTTCCGTAAGGACAGATCGATTGGTCTTCCAAGACTGCGCAATGACCTGGGGATGAGTCGGTGATGTTGGGCGCGATTGTCCCCGTGTTATTTCTAGGCTGCCAGGCTGCCACAATAGGAGAGGAGAGATGAAATGAAATGAACAGGTGGGCCGAAGAATTACGAGGGGAGGTTGAAGGTAGGTAGGTATATGTATGTAGATGTATGTAATATTTAGGTAGAGGTATGTAGATAGATATGTAGATAGGTGGTAGAGGTAGATACGTGGATATGGTATTGGTACTGTAGAGCGAAAGCGTGCAGGGCGACAAGGTGACGACAAGGCGACAAAAAATACAAAACAGCGAAAAGACCAAAGAATTCTTCTTTGTCGGGATGATGTAGAAGTTTGAAGTAGTAGTCAACTTACTATCCTGCAACAATGAGACCTGCTCGGCGAAGGAGAGATCTCGTGGCGATGGGTTATCAAAAGGGGTTGATGCGGTGGATTGTGGTTGGAGATCGGTGAAGAGAGAATAGTAGATGTGTTTTTCAGAAAGTTAGGTAAAAATGCAATGTGGCTGGAGAAAGACGGAGTCCCATGGAAACCAACGTAATTACTTGCCTGCAGCTGGCAGTCGCTGGGCTGGGGTCTTGTACCTATCTTAATTTTTTGGCTTTGGCTTAATCCAACCTGATAAGGTAAAGGGCCAGAGGGCCTGACAGAAGTCCTGGCAGAAGTCCTGGGCTCTGCTACGCTACCTATGTCAGGTAACTGCAAAAAAGTAACTAGATACAATCGCTATACTTACTAGACCCCCTGACTACAACTAGATTTTTATGCCGCGGAGTCGGCCTTCTCCGGGAAGGAGACGGTCACGAGTTTGTAACACGTCGCGACTCAGGAAGTATCTCTTAGGTACCGCCGCTATGATTATTAGAGTACCTAGCCTGCTAGCTTAAGTAAACCGCGCTAGACCGTCCCGAGCGTCCACCCAGATTCGATCCTTGGCAATCGCCAAAGTGTCCATCTCAAGTTTCAAGCCTCACAGCTCGTTTAGTTAGTAGGCTCTTATTATTCTTCTAATTCAAAAGCCTACCGTCGCATGACAAACACTCGTTGCCTAGCGAATATGTTATTCTCGACTAAAACCCTCCTGCTATTGGCAGCGAGCTTCCTACGAGCTGCGCTCGCCCACAATATCCAGCTTCCCGCCCACGGCCGCGAGTGCTTCCACGAGGAACTCCACAAGGACGATGTCATGACCGTTACTTTCCAGACCGGCGACAGGGAGTTCGGCGGTGCCGGAAACCTCGACATTGACTTCTGGGTACGGCAGCAAGCACTCTTAAAAATAAAATTAGTCGGTGAATAAATATAATGACTTACATGTTTGATCCACAACTTACAGATCACGAACCCGATGGGCCAGCACGAAACTTTCCAGAAGTCGGTTTCGAACGGCGACTTCTCGTTTACGGCTAGACACGACGGCAAATTCCTCTACTGCTTCGGTAACGAACACTGGGGCTCCAACAGCAAGGAGGTGTCGTTCAACGTACATGGAATAGTCTACGTGTCCGAAGGCGATGCCCCTCAGGATCCCTTAGAGAAAGAGAGTATGTGTTGCGTTGCGTTGCTGCCTACTCCTTAACTTTTAACAAATACGGCTTGGATCCATTTACTAACGGAGCTACAGTCAAGCAACTCTCCGAACTAGTCGACCAGGCAAGGGATGAGCAATCCTACATCGTCGTCCGTGAACGCACCCACCGTAACACCGCCGAGAGCACAAACAGCCGAGTCAAATGGTGGAACCTGTTCGTAATTGGCGTGGTAGTAGGCGAGTCTCTATTCCAGGTATGGTGGTTACGAAGATTCTTCGAAGTTAAACGGGTGGTATAGCATCGTACTTGGGGGGTGGGGGAGTAGTTCGATCACCATCTTGTTTCTGGGTAGTCAGGCGTATTCGTGGGCTGGCTTCGAGACGGCGGGTTTTAAAAAAGGGAATGGGCAGACAGACGTTCATGAATCAGAGCATATTGCGCGTTTGTACAGTAATGAAGAGAAGATATCTGGCATGTTATATATTCCCGGTTTAAGTCTGTACGACCAGTGGCTTTAACTTGGTGATACTGTTACGAGCAATTCAAATGTTACACTCACGAGAGTGTCTTTTAAAGTAAGTTATGTTCTAATCATGAGAGTATATCCAACTGTTGACACTTCTTCTCTAGAGACGTAGTGAATAAATGCATACTATCATCTGTGTAAGGAGTGATTCATATTTGACAAGCTATCTTACTAGTAGTGAACTCCGACACTTATTTTAAGGTAATAATTGTGTACTTAGCTGGCGAACTATACATGACACACAACACTCCTTATACACTACGAGGGAACCCGTTCAGACCAAGAAGCAACTCCGGCGACTGCGCAATCTCATCCTTCCGCGCCTTCAACTCATCGACATCCCACGCAGCAAAAACAAACTTATTCTTCAAAAACTCAGCCTCCTTGCTCGCGGCCCAGACGAGGAAATGGGCCGGCAGGTTAACTATTCATATCATATTAGCAATCTCATCCCATATACGTCTTATTCTTCTCTTCCTCGTAAGGAAAAGGGGAGTAAAGAAAAAAAAAAAAAAAAAAAAAAAAAAACTCACTATCATCGCTCGGCCACTCCATCCCCGAATCCTCAACCATCTTCTTCCCCCCCTCCGTCTCCGTCACAACCCCCGGATGCACACTAACAACCCTCAACCCCGGATTCTCCGCCCCAAAATACTCCATCACCTTCACCGCCGCCAGCTTGCTAGCCGCATACCCGGACATCGGCAGCCCCCCGTTCGCCGGGAACAGCGCCCCCGCCGTTGCCAAGTACAACACCACCGCGTCCGGCTTCGCATACCCAGCCGCCGCCCTCGCCACGACCGCCGCGCCCCTAACCCCCGTCTCGAAAGTCTTCCACCACGCCTCCAGATCCGCCTCGGCCAGCGGCTTCACCAGCGTCTGAACGCCCGCGGCATTAACGACGACGTCGAGGGCGCCGAACTCGGCCTTGGCTTTGGAAAACGCCGCTTGCGTGCCCGCCTCGTCCACGACGTCCACCGCGAACGTGAGCACCCTGGCGTCGGCGTATTTAGCCTGGAGCTCTGCCGCGGTAGCGGCCAGGACGGCCTCGCGGCGCCCGGTGAGGGCGATGCGGCGGGATCCGGACGCGAGGAACGCGAGGGCGGTGGCTTTGCCGATGCCGGCGGAGCCGCCGACGATGAAGACGGATTTGGACGCCGTGGAGAGGTGTGGGAGGGAAGGGGAGATGGCGCCGTAGGGCTTGGTGTGTTGGGTTTTGGTGTAGTTCATGGTGAAGTGAATTGTTTGGTATGTAAGAACGAGTTGTGGTGTTCAAGGTAAATAGGTAGTGAGAATATAGCAGAAGATATTCTTTGAATGCTTCAGTATCTATCTTATACCTGTCTGTTTCGAACGAATATATTCCATCTCATACAATCGGATCTATCGAGCCTTTATACAAAAAACCCTCTCCGGCCATTATCAAGGCTAGGTATTTGTCAGGAGGATCATACTCGTCGGATTGCGCCATGTTGGCAACAGCCGATAAAGACCTAATTAATCAGCTTCTTCAACTAGAATCGTTAGACGTATAGGCCGAGTTGTGTAATATAGAGCGTTGTGGTAGTCGATTTGTTATGAATCCAATACAAGTTGTTTGTCATATGCGATGCTGGGCGCGGAATCGTTCCGCTGCTTATGAAATGGCAGCTAGCCCCTGATTACACAACAGCAGCATCTGCTAAGACAACACCTAAGACCACGAAGAATAGATTATGTTTGTTGATTATCATAGCATTAAATAACTTTATAAACTACTTTTATCAGATTTGTTAGATATGAAGTGAGATAGACGACGTCCCCAGCAGTTTTCGGAAGAAGTACCGTTGTAGCAGCTCAAAGCAATGTCAGGGTCTTACTAAAGTACCTAAGACATCATGAACAGCTTACATAGTCCGAGACAACTACATTAAAGCTTAAGTCATGAGAGATATATGATCGCTTAACAGCATAATAGTTCTTCACTTAGCAAATTTGATTGCATTTCCAAAATATCCGCTGTTTTATCTATCCATCCCATCCTATCCCATCCGAGCAATCAATTCCCAACCGCCGAGATATACTTCGTCATAGCTTCCATCCGCTCGCTCGTAAGCTTCAGCGAAATACGCAACAATTCCTGCGCCACGTCGTTCTCCTCGTTTTGCAGCTTCTCCCAATTTTCCGTATCCATAACCCAGACGACGCAGTCTTTAACTGCAACCACCGTCGCCGTCCTGTTTGTCTCGGAGAAGAAGGGCAGCTCGCCGCAAGTCGTGCCCTGGACGATCGGCTCGTATAGACGACCTTGCGGCGTGTCATAGTCCGCCCGCAACTCGCCCCTTTCTAGGAGATAGAAACCATTGGCTGGCTCACCGCACTGATATAAGACGGTACCGGCCGTGTATTCCCTACGAACGAAAAACGGCCTTGCTCGGAACCAGAAATCCTCATTCTTATCGCTCACGTCGTAGAAGACTTGAAGCATAAGTCGGAGGGGTTCACTGATGTTTTGCCATCTTGTTGACCGCCTCACCTCATGTTGGTCCAACACATTCTTAGCCGCTTGGTCGAGGTGATGTCTCCTCGGGGACTGAGACAGAATCTCTAATGATTGGCCAAGTTGACCCTTATTAGGCACATCAAGATTTCTTGACGGCGCCGGTCGGGAGATTCTTAGAGCTTCTTGGTGAGCATAGAAGGCCTTTAGTTGCTCGTTCTCGCAGCTTTCTAATGCAGAATTTAAATCAGGCATGAACATAACGCTGGGTCCATCGGACCCGAGTCCGACCGCTCTGAGATCTCGACCAATTCCGCTGTCTGCGTCTTTTCCACTTAGGAGAAGGTGCACTCCTTTCCCGGCTAGGAGCCGATTGATAGTTTTGAATCCTTCGGCTGCCGAATAGTCGATACCCGTAACGTGCCACAGGTCGACGATTAAATATTTAATAGGATGCTCCCTAAAAGAATCCTCGGAAATTAGATGTCGGATTTTCGCCTCGACACCGACGATGGTACCAAAGAAGAGAAACCCGGATAATTTTATTACGTATGTCTGGCTACCGACTTCTCGGAGGTAGCGATGTTGTGATGGATTCCGTCTGACCATGGACCCGATCTGGTCCCCGGTATAAGTTGCTCGTATGGCTGAAACTTGAGATGCGTGGAGAATAGCAGAAACAAAGGCGAGTATAATGCCAACGAAAATACCCACAACAAAATCATAGATTCCCATAGTGAGAACTATTACTACGATCTAAGGCAATCTTAAGTTAGTCTTAGGTATGTAGGTGTAGATGATAAAAAAAAAACGTACTGTCAGGTATTCCAATAGCTTGAGTTTGCGCCTCGGGGATATTAAGGCGTCTAATAATAACTCAAAACCGAGAACGAAGATCAGGGTGCCGACAACCATGACAGGAATGTAGCCTATGATCACTGGCCCGATCGTCATGACACCGAATGTAAGACCTGCTAGCATGATACCCGCTAGACGATTATCGCCGCCTGATCTCATGAATAATAGCGTGTTAGCAAAGACTAGATAATTCTGGATACTTCCTGCAAGCCCAGACAGGAAGTTCGAGTAGCCGTGTAGTTTGAGTTCGTGATCTAAATCAAGATGATCTTCCCCGGAAATTTGCGCTAAAGCAGGAACATTGATGGGAACATGAAGTACACTGAAAAAGGTCAATGCGAACATAGCCCCGACAGTTTCCAATATCGCTCCCCAATGAACAAGGTTGAATTCTATGGTTTGCCAGTCAGTAACAAGTTCCTCTCCGGAAATAGTTGAAGTGCTTACTATAAAGAGTCCAGAAGTACCACCAGGGTTGCCCGGCCTCAGGGGCCTCAAAGATCCACCCGGCTTGCCGAAGGCTCTCGGGATTTATACTGTCAATCGTAAATACGAAGAAATAGAAGAAGATGGGTACGGATAGAATATAGATTGGCAAGAAGTATTTGGAAGTGATTTTCTTCTGAAGGCCAAAGAGAAGGATAGCAAGAGCAAGAGGGATAAGCCAGAGAGGCAAGGTATCTGGCTGAATTAGTTTTCGTCCGGTGTCGAGATCGTAGCGGAATTCCTCTAGTCGCGCCGAAACTTCAAAGCCCGTCGCGATGAGGAACCAGCCCACACCACCGATACATCCGATTAAAATATGGCGAGGGATAAAGCCGACGACATAGCCCAGTCTAAATCTTCCCATAAGATAGAAAACAAGGCCAGTCAGCATGGAGCTAATAGCAAAAGAGGTTATCGTCGTAGCGATAACCGCGTCCGGCTGGTCTTCTCCTACTTTCGCCGTAATGGTAGTCGCCATATTATGAAAGAAAGGAACAACTTCGATCTATATACGTGAGTGCATATTCATAAATCGTAGGGTTCAAGAGCACTTACCAACTCCGATCCAACGCCACCTCGAAATATACTGCTGGTCGAGAAGGTCAGTTGTGAGATGATTGTGCTAACGTAGAATATCGATATTCCAGCCGGCCCGAGGTTCGAGAATATTGGGTTGCCCAAGGGGAATAAGATCATTCCTACGGATACTATTAGACTCTTGGATAATAACATGATCTGGACTGCAACTCACCGTAAGATAGGGCATCTAGGATGTTAAGTAGAAGACCGACGATCACAGCTGGTAAGCAATGTATCGGGTCTATTATAGCTCTCTGCCAAATAACCTTTTTATCCCAAGTCTTTGGGTTCATCATGTGCTTGACAGTACGAATTTTGTCTCGAATACCGCGACCGGTCGACGACGGTCCCCAAGGCGGTGTCTTCGGTTTTTGATTTTCGATGTCCATATCTACAATACTATCCAGAGACTCTGGCCTTGATATCCTCCTGAGGAGAGGGGTAGTCTCTGATATCTCATTATCAGGTTCTGATTGGAATTCGCCTGTCGATGGTAATTGCTGGCCATTGTGTGATATTGAATTACTACCGGCGTCCAGATCAAGTAGGGACTCAGACGGAGAATGTTTGAGCATGGTTGTGAGTGCCGAAGGCCCTGAGTTGGGTGGGCCGTCCGTTCTAGATGCCAGCGAGGAGGGTTCGGAAACTCCGTCTATGGTGTCGGTGCTTGATGCTTGTAAATCTCCTGGGGATGGCAACTCGTCCTGGGAGACTGGCTGGTCGCGGCTGGGGTGGGACGAGGTAGACGATATTCGATTGAGAAATGACGTGCTGCGCCTATCCTTCTTGTCCGAAAGCACGTATGAAGCGAGTTCGGCGGTGTCTTCACGGACACTGCGAGCAAAACCGGCACTGTCCACAGGAGCTTGGGGAGGATGTTAATAAAAAGCACGGCGATGTAAGTATATATAGACTTACACAAATGATCCCAAAGAGAGCCAGGCACAAAAGATCTAATGGGCTCTCTATGACTATGGGAATTAAGAGAAGATGAGAGCTGTCGTAAATCTCCTGGACCTAATCGCGAGCCTTGATTTGGAGTGTGTATTTGTCCAGGAACATCTACCGGATCTCGCTGAGAGGTAACGGATGAGGATCTCCTTCTCCAAGGAGAGAAACCGAACGATGGTGCCGCCATATTCTACGATAGAGCGTTTATAAGCTCTCTATGTTGAATATACACATTGGCTGCCGGGCTACAGTGCGCGTGCGCGAGGAAATTTGGTGGATTACCCAAGTGTTAGTCCTCGAGGCGCAACCATGATATACAATAGCGAATTCAAATTATATCTTAAAGGTTGGTGGCGTTATATGGCTTGCATAGATGTAAAAAAATATATATTTATAAATTGACTAGTTGAATTAACTAGTAGAATTAGTAGTATCGTAGATAGAGAGCGAAGGGATTAAAGAAAATGGAGGACGCTCAAAGTTGCAAAGGTTGTTCGATGATAACGAGAGGATCGAAATCTAGACCTCACGAGATAGACAGAACCTTAGTATGCAGCTATCAAGGAACTTTGACGTACCCACTAGAAGCGCTAACTCGAAAAGGTATTTTATCAAGGAGTAGTAGTTACGTAGGACACGGAAAACTTTGGCGTATGGCCTTAACTTAATTTGGCAGGGATATGGAGGGGCATCTCCGATTCTAGAAAGACGCTTAAAGACTATTGGACGGTGGGTCTCGACCTAGGTAATGCTACATCGATACCTGCATCTACGATTTTAAAATTTTTATTTAATGCCATTGGGCAAGACAAATCTTTTTTATAATATCTTCGTGTCACAAACTCGCCGTAGACAACTCGTCCGCTTGACGACATCAAATATCTTGTCATCATCTGCCGTGCGGCTAATGACATCGAACCTTGGCCAAGCAGCCAAGTAGATGATCATGTAGCCCCTCACCCGTTATTGAAGCTCTAACGTTCTAAATAAGTTGCCTCTAGATCCTACAATATTCCGGCTGCATGATGCAAACAGCCCTAGCTCATATGTATATCCCGAGCGCGGATGCGGTTTATATCATGTATGTTCCAATGGCTGACAGGCACCTGGATGGCATTAAGCTATTAGACAGTGTGAATTAGGTAATTCAGCTCGCCCTCCCTATTTTCAGCTTGAATTATATAAGGGTTACGATGATTTGGATGTTTTTTTCTAGCCGTCTAAGTGTTGCGTGGCCCCTGAATATCCTACCGTCGACACCACTCACCGCAAATACATATCGAGCCGGCTAGTCTAATCCCAGCTCCCAGAGTATAACATGCAAACATATACCTCCGTGATATTTAGAACGGGACTTGGCTTTGTGATTCACGATGCATTTGCGTTTCTCCTCACTATCAACACTTCCGGCCCTTCTACGACCACAGCAGGACAAGTCGGACGTCGATCTCTCACTGTGAGGTCTATTACGTATTTTAAAGCTATGGTATTCGTCGAGTTGCTTTGTGGTACCTTTTTGGACGGAACGGTCCTCGTCAATGCGACACGATCAATAACGTACAGGCTACCCTTGAGAAGCCCGCCGAAAAGTTTGGTTGTCAGGTGTGAAGTTGAGTATTCCCAGGAGCCTCCAGTTCTTCTCCGCATTCAATCCTCCCATTGGCTCCCCGCAAATATCAATCCTCCAACTGAATGGCCAGCACGGCCAACGTTGTATTCCGTATGGTCCAGTAGCCCTTACGCCCTGCGCCGTAAGCTGGAACGCGCCAACTGAGGGGCTGCATTTGCATATGTAACCCACTATTAAGGTACTGTGCTCATCGTTCTGCTTTTCTGCTTTTATGAATGAATAATAGTCTGTATCGGGTAATTTGGCACGTATTCGCGTCGGATAGAGGACATCGAGCCAGAATCATTCCACTTCGTTTCGAAGTTCCCGTTACCATCTAATGTATGCGCACTAAGTTTCACCGGGCTAATCATTTGCTTTTCGAGGTAAACACACAGACACATTCCACTGAAAGTTGAGTTCGGCGCAACGGTTCCCAGAGATGGTTGGTGATTGGCCCTGAGCCGTAGGCCAAGCGCCCGGTTGTACCACTTGCATTCGGTCGTCATGTGCGCCTCTTTTTGCGATTGATTCCGTCAGAATTGCAAATATGGTTTGCCACGACTTAACTGGGAAGAGACCATCTGTGCGTATATGTTGCCAGCCCTTCCAACAGGCAAACAAGCTTCCGGGGAATCAACCTTATGCCGCCGAAATGGGAACTCTTTGCTTTTTTTGGCCTAACCGCATGCGGGAGCGGCTCGGACGGAACAACCTATAGGCAACGCGTAGTCCGAGGCGTGATCCTACCCCAGAATACATATTAAATAGGATGGACTGCGCTCCAGGTCCGTTCAACTGAGCTTTTGGAGATAGCCTTGGGCGATCAGACGTTCTACATCACCCTGCCTAACGTAAAATTGACTATTTTTAGTAAGTGTGATCGCGCTGCAATAGTATATCAGTATTCTTTCTTTCTACTTTATTTGAATGCGCACTCTCTTACCCGTATTCGGTTTGGATTTCGCCCGCATCTTTTAGCACCCGTACGTCAATGAAGAGGTCGCGAGGAGGTTCGAGACTGCCTGTGAGATCGATATCTGTCCATTGTCCTTTGTAAGCAGCTAGCAGATCGCTGTACTGTCGCACGTAGTCTTCTTCCTGCGGACTTAAGCTACTCGTGCCACTATTGTTAGTTGCCATACCGGACGGGCCGTTGAATCCGCCTTGACCGTCCCTAACTTGCTGCCCGGCAAGATCAACTACGTCGTAGCCTTTCCAGACAAGCTCTTCGAGCCTGTCTGCTCGGGTTCGGTGATAGGCCAACAGACAACGCTTGTTCCGCCGCATGGATAAATGGTTTATAAGTAGAGTACATGCCGTAGCCGGGTCGTCAGCTGGGTTGAAGGACCCCTGGAACGGTTCTAGCATGTCTGCCACATCTTTGTCCAAGTCGCGAACCTCTCGTGTGACTGCACGAACTAGTTCAGTCTGATATGGTGGCAAGTGTGATAAATTTTGAGTTCTTTTTGCATGTTGAACCTGAATTTACTTAGTGATAACTTCTCATTTCAACGGAGGCCCGGTATAAGCTACTTACGAGTTTGTTTCCTAGATCACCGTACATTTTTAAAAAGTTCGTATACCGATATGACGGCCTAAATGAGATGAATAAGTCGTGTAACTAAGTGAAGTAAGATGAGACCGAGGTACTAAAGGTTGAAAGGCGCGTATGAAATCCGAGAACGCGTTTCCCACTCTCGGGTAATTTTTACATTAGGGGGCGGGGTCAAAGTCAGTGAGGAAGGGACACTATGGTGGGGTTCTATGTATATAAGCTTTTAGTATGGCGCAATATACTTGACTTCAACACCGAGGGGTTGGTGGGGCTAACACCTCCGACCCCGCCATGAACTCGAAATTTTATTTTTCTCGCTCTCCTATCATCACGGCCGTAACGGCGCCATTGTAATCGTTACTCGTGACAAGTGACAGAAACGAACCAGACGAGTCTTTTTAAGCTCGGCCATTCTCTCTGATAACGAATTGGTCTTATCATCCCAACAAGTTAATTTAAGTCATATATATCCTCGTCAATCTGTCGTATACGCGTCGATTCGTGAATCCATCTATCTTCTCCACCAAAAAATCTCTCTGATCGAAACAATTACAATTGGACCCTACACACCTACACAAATCCGTCGCAATGTCGGCAACTCAGAGAATCGCCATACTTTCCGTCTTCGACAAGACTGGCCTGTTGGACCTAGCTAAGGGCCTCGTGCAACAGAATGTGCGAATTCTGGCATCCGGAGGCACGGCTAAGATGATTCGCGAGTCTGGATTTCCGGTCGAGTAAGATAATTAGCAACCCGATCCCGTATTTATATAGACATTTTGGGACTGACTCCAAGAAGGGACATCTCTGCCATCACGAAAGCCCCGGAGATGCTTTCTGGTCGAGTAAAGACCCTGCACCCGGCTGTCCACGCCGGTATCCTTGCTCGCAACCTGGCCACCGATGAGAAAGACCTTGCTGAGCAGAGCATTGACAAGGTCGACTATGTTATTTGCAACTTATACCCATTCAAGGACACTGTCTCTAAGCCCAGCGTCACTGTCCCCGAAGCAGTAGAGGAGATCGATATAGGAGGTGTGACGCTTATCCGAGCGGCTGCCAAGAACCACTCCCGTGTCACTATCCTTAGTGATCCCAATGACTATCCCGAATTCCTGAAGGAGCTAGAGAGTGGAGAGATTAAGGAGGATAGCCGTAAGAGATATGCCCTCAAGGCTTTTGAGCACACAGCCGATTACGATGCTCACATCTCTGGTTTCTTCCGTGCGCGATATGCTGGTGAAGGCCAGGAGTTCCAGCAATACTTGGCTCTCCGATACGGCGCCAACCCTCACCAAAAGCCTGCTGCTGCATACACGATATCCAAAAAGCTACCATTCAAGGTTCTTAGCGGTTCCCCCGGATATATCAACCTACTCGATGCCTTGAACAGCTGGCCGCTGGTTAAGGAGCTGAAGAAGGCACTTGGAAAACCCGCAGCTGCCAGTTTCAAGCATGTTTCCCCCGCCGGCGCTGCCATTGGAGTTCCTCTAAGCGCCGAGGAGCGCAAGGTTTATTTCGTCGACGATATCCCAGGCATTGAGACTTCAGGCCTTGCCCAGGCTTACGCTCGAGCCCGAGGAGCTGACCGTATGAGCAGCTTTGGCGATATCATTGCCCTGAGTGACGTGGTTGATGTGCCTACCGCTAGCATCATTTCTAAGGAGGTCTCTGACGGCATCATCGCCCCTGGATATGAGGATGCCGCGTTGGAAATCCTCAAGAAAAAGAAGGGTGGCAAGTACCTTGTTCTGCAGATAGATCCCGAGTACCAGCCGGACCCTACTGAGATCCGAACTGTGTATGGAGTAAACCTTACCCAACATCGTAACGACATGGAATTTTCTCCGTCTTCTTTCGCTCGAACTATTACGCCGAAGGACTTTGCCCTCCCTGAGGCTGCTGCTAGAGACTTAACAGTTGCCACAATCGCCCTCAAGTACACACAGAGCAACTCCGTGTGCTACGCCAAGAACGGACAGGTCGTCGGTCTCGGTGCTGGTCAGCAGTCCCGCATTCACTGCACTCGGTTGGCCGGCGATAAGGCCGACAACTGGTGGCTGCGCTTCCACCCCCGCGTTCTCGGCATCAAGTGGAAGAAGGGCACCAAGCGCCCCGACAAGAGCAACGCTATCGACCTTCTAGTGAGCGGCGAGCTGCCCAAGGGCGGTCCCGAGCGTGAAGCGTTCGAGTCTATCTTCGAGGAGGTTCCCGCCGCGTTCACCGAAGACGAGCGCAACGACTGGCTTAGCAAGCTGAGCGACGTCGCTGTTTCTAGCGATGCTTTCGTAAGTACACCTTCATTTATCAATTAGTTCCTTAAAGTTGTAGCGAACAGTTTTATTAACATTGATCCCACAGTTCCCCTTCGTCGACAACATCTACCGCGCCCACCGCTCCGGCGCAAAGTACATCGCAGCGCCCGGCGGCAGTCAGAATGACTCCGCCGTCTACGAGACGGCTGAGAAGCTTGGCATCGTCTTCGTGGAGCAGAACATCCGACTCTTCCACCACTAGAAAGTGGCATCTCAAACGGTATGTGTGGTCTAGTACCTGCGGCTGGCCGGGATAGATAAAAAAACAAAGGGGAACGGGAGGGAAATGAGAAAACCAAAATATTATGAAACATACGAAGATAGATACCCAATGTGATAAGGGGAATATGGGTAGGATGGATGGAGTAGGTACTGGTCTAGGAATATTAAACGTCCTTGTACAAAGCCCCCTAAATGGGTTTCTAAGTAGCAGAATTCTCTTTTAACAAGAATATTCAAACGGTTTATGAAACAGGGCGAATGATATGAATTTGCTATGGATTTTTCTTCCGGGGGTAACTATCATGGGATAGGCCTAACTCATTCCTCTTTGACATGGAAGCGCACACTTAAAGTCTTCAAGTCCAAATAGTTCATCAGGGCAAGTCTCTTATTAGCATTTCAATGCATCTACTCTAACCACAATTCCCTGTGGAACTTTGTCTCGACAGAGATATTAACCCGATGTCATATCATCCATCCAACCTCATCACAATCATCGGCCATCCTTTGTGGCTCTCAAGTCGTGTATCATGTATTGAGTGTTGGTGCAAGGGTGTCGTCTCCTAATAAGGTAGTTGCTTATAGCTTTTGCATGGCGAACTATCATTCGATTAATATATGAAGAAGGGGGTTTTACGGCGGTTTGGAAACTTACAACATCGGTAGACTGAACGTAGTCCTCGAATCCTTGGATCTCCTCCTCGAGATCGCTAAGAGAGATCTTCTCGTCCTCAATGACGAGGTTGATCTGCAGCTTCTTGATACCGAAACCAACGGGCAGCAGCTTGGAGGCACCCCAGACTAGACCATCCTTCTCGATTCCACGGACAGCGGCCTCGAGAGCAGCCATATCGGTCTCATCATCTATATGATGCATTAGCTTGAACGTTACATCTGACAGGAAATTGCGCAATCATACCCCAAGGCTTGACATCCAGAGTGACAACAGACTTGGCGATGGTCTTGGGCTTGGCCGCCTTCTTCTCTCGGTAAGCAGCTAGACGTTCCTCACGGATACGGACGGCCTCGGCATCTTCCTCCTCATCGTCACTGCCGAATAGGTCGACATCCTCCTCCTCCTCGGCGGCAGGGGCCTTGGCGGGGTTTAGGGTAGCAGCAACCTCCTCGGGGCCGTAAACGGTGTAGGGCTTGGAGGCGTCACCGGGCAGAGTAGGGAACTCATCCTCGAAGGTGGCGATGTGCTTGTACCATCGTGCGGCATGAGGGTACTTGTCGGATTCGGGCGCAGAGGTAATGGCCTTGAAGACGGCAACATCGGCCTGGGAGGGAGCGTAGCTTTTGTGAGTCAGCTACGAGTTCTTGGCGTATATGGAAGAATCAAGCGCAAGAAACGAGGATATGGATGGTATATTGTAAAATCAGAGATGCACAAAGTGCTATTGTATTTGTCCTCCTTGACAGGTCTTGAGTCTGCTCAGAAACACGGACCAATGTTTCTCATCATGATGGGTGATTGGGCTCGTAAGGCATTTTGATAAAGAGGGGCAGTATCGAGGTGTCGCATTCGACGATGGCGCAAGTTTTTGTTTTTTCAGGAAATAATTGCAGCTGACTTACCCAGTGATGTATGAACGGGTGGTCAACCAGCTGTTAAGGACTATATCATATCGTCGTTAGCCGTTGTCAAAAATAATGAGGGGTGCCCAGACCAGACGAAAGATCCTGATAGAAGCAAGTATCAAGGAACCCCGCCGTGGAACTGCGAATCAGACAAGAAAAAACATACTGGCCAAACCGGCGTCGCTGAGAAGATCGGTGAAACCCATTTCTACGATTTGAATGAATGAGAATAGAGAGTCTGTATAATGGGGACTCAGGGGTATCTTGGGAAGAGAAGAAATAAAAGCCTGTGAAGATGTGAAGAAATAAGAAGACGCAAGGTGGGGTTGAGGTATGGTGGGATATGTATTTTGAAATTTTTCGAGCGAGGGTTGACCAAATCACCCGGAAACATTAGGTATTTAGGTACCTCCTTGCCTACCTAGCCACACTTACCCCCCAATTGAACCTTATTAGCTCAATAGGTACCTAGAAAGCCACAGCTTGCCACCAGAATTGACATAATGGTCATAATGGCCCACTATCTTATCATAAACTATAACTAAAGGTAATAACTGGAGCTTCGACGATGGTTCGACAGTTCGAGAAAGGTCCAGAGGGCGACAACAGCCGCATTAGCTTGAAGCTCTCATGATATTTCATAACCGTCCGGGATTCGATTGTTTATTTGTTTCTTTCCTTTCTTTCTTAATTTGTTAATTTCTTTTAACGACTAATCATACAATATACAACCTTAATCTTCTCATCATGTTAGCGAGAACTCAATTACTTAAATCTTCACGACGAATCGCAGACGCCTCGCCAAGGGGGCTCGCTCGACTTAATGTAGCCCCTTCACAACTGTCGAGAGCTGCGCTCATAACCACAGCAAAAACAATATCCAATGTTACTCTACCTGCTCCTACATTTCGAACATACGCAAATGGCCGGCCTCGTCCGCCGGGTGGTACGCACCGAATGGACATGAGCGGAGAGCCCGAGAAGCCGGCCTTGGAGCAGTATGGAATTGATCTTACAGCCAAGGCGAGAGATGGAAAGTTAGACCCTGTTAT